ACAGTAATACTTGATTATAGAAAATTATAGAGCTATAGCTATAGCCAGTAGCTGACCCATTTTGCCTACCGTTCTGGCAGATGGGTTCATGGGACAGCAAGCATGCATTTCCTGGAGAATGCATGGTTTTGTAATGCCAAAATAGTAATTTTAACCCACTTCTTGCGATTATGCATCATTAGAACCACCAGTAAGGATTTCTAACTGAGTTACAGTAGCTGCTGACCTGGTTAAATGTGTTGTGAAAACTCAAACAATGTGCCTTTTGCCTTTTCCTGGGTCTGAGTCCTCTTGGCCTTCAGAAGTGATATTATTTTTTTCACTTGGAACAAATTGCTGGAACTTGATTTGTAGATAAAGAAATTGGGTGGATGATTTGATTGAATTTCCCCAGGAGAGAAAAACACCTCATGGGAAGAGTTCGCTCTTAAGAGAACTTCTTTTAGGTTTTAATGATAGGGTGCGATATCTGGGAATCTTCACACAAGTCATTCACAAAACTTTCCTTAGACCACAGCTAAATTAATAGAAATAATAGAAATAGAAGCTAGAAGGGACCTTGGAGGTCTTCTAGTCCAGCCCCCTGCTCAAGCAGGAGAACCTATACCATTTTAGACACTGTGACTGTCTAGTCTCTTCTTAAAAACCTCCAGTGTTGGAGTGCCCATGATTTCTGAAGGCAAGCTGTTCCACTGGCTAATTGTCCTCACTGTTAGGAAGTTTCTCCTTAATCCTCAATCTTAATTGCTCAATCTTATCAATGTAGTTTTTTTAGTGAGGTCTCCAGAACCAGAGACAGTATTCCAAATGGAGTCTGACTAAAGCTCTGTATAGTGGATTAGGACATCTTTTTTTCTTTCTGTGTGGCCTTCAACTCCCCGAATTCCCCAGCCAGCATCTTAAAAGTTGCCCAGGTTGAGAATCACTGCCTAAAGGTGTGGAACTCAAAAGTAGCTTCACATTATTATCTAGAACAGAACAGAACAGAACAGAACAGAATAACAGAGTTGGAAAAGACCTTGGAGGTCTTCTAGTCCAACCCTCTGCTTAGGGAGGAAACCCTACACCACTTCAGACAAATGGTTATCCAACACCTTCTTAAAAACTTCCAGTGTTGGAGCATTCACAACTTCTGGAGGCAAGTTGTTTCACTGATTAATTATTTTAACTGTCAGGAAATTTCTTCTTAGTTCTAGGTTGCTTCTCTCTCCTTGATTAGTTTCCATTCATTACTTTTTCTTGCCCTCAGGTGCTTTGGAGAATAGCTTGGCTCCCTCTTCTTTGTGACAGCCCCTTTAGATGGGATTTTACTAAGGCTTACGTAGTTATTTTCCTTTGTACAGTAAGGTTGACCTGTTTGTGTCATCCATAATTGCATTAGCTTTTTTGTAATTACCTCCTTGGTGATATAGATTTATTATTATGCTGTGGTAATTGGCTGTACATTATGAACTTATATTTCCAACTATCCAATTTGGACTTGGGCCAAGAGGAGTACTGTTTTTTTAATTGAAAATGTGCAGTCAATCTTCTCTGCAGTATTCAAAAAGTCTTTGAGAAACCATTTCTTACAAAGGTGTTTTTTCAAGAGACAACTGGACTTTCTGGTTTTTCTTTTGAAGAAGTTTTGCATCTCATCCAAGAAGCTTTTTCAGCTCTGACTGGATGGCGGGGAATGGAAAGATCTGACCATCCACTCAGAGCTGAAGAAGCTTCTTGGATGAGAAGCGAAACGTCTTCAAAAGAAAAAAAACCCAAGAAAGTCCAATTGCCTCTTGAAAAAAGCACCTTTGGAGAAACCATGACCTGGATGACTGAGAATGCAACCCTCATTAATACATACTAATTGCCACGTGACCATATTTTGATCATGTGACTGAGGGGATGCCGCGATCGTGATAAGTCTGGGGACTGATCATAAGTCACTTTTTCCAGTGCCGTTGTCATGTTACTAATGATTGTAAATTGAGGACTATCTGTAAATATAACCTTCTATTACTGGAAGGTCCTTACTACTTCCATGAATGGTTAGACACTTTCCAGCTTGACAGAAATAACAACCAGCCATAGGATACCCCCTTTTGATAAGCAACTGTAAGTGGAAATTGGATAGCCCTGACTTATTCAAGGTTTGTACACATGTGCTGTTTTAAAAATTGGGGCGGCGGGGATAACAAATGTAATGAAAAGTAGTGAGTTGACATGGCCCAATGGACCAGAAAATTATTATTTACAGCAAAGGGGCCATTATTTGATTTACTGGATTAAATCACAGAGATGCGTAAGCAGAGAGGTCTCACAAGTTGTTCCAGAACTAATGTAATAATTCAGGCTAACGGGATCCGATTGTATTTAGATAAGGCATCTAGTGCCACCTAGTGTTACATTTTAAAAGTATCAGCAATAACCAACTTCATTACCCTCTGGTTTGAATTTTAAATCCCATCCAATTGCTCCATCATAGACGGGACCAATTTTGAGTTGTCCCCGAGACATTTGGAGGATATCAGCCTCTCTCTTGGAAAACACACTTTGGAACAGCATCAATGAAAGGAATGTTTGTGGCCTTTGCAGGACTTCAATAATTAAGATTAACATGAAGAATGCAGATGGGGAGGTCTACCCTAATGTTGGCAGGTCTTCTATTCTGATTACAGGTAGTCCATGACTTGCAATCACAATTGGGACCAGCATTTGATAAGTGAGTTGTGCCTGATTTTATGACCTTTTTTTTGCCATGGTTAAGCAAATCACTTTAAAAGTGAGTCTTGTGGTCATTAAGCTTCCCCAATTCACTTTGCCTGTCAGAAATCAGTTGGGAAGATTGCAAACGGTCATCACATCAACCAGGACATTGCATGACCGTAAATACATACCAGTTGCCGAGCACCCAACTTTCGGGATACTGCAATGGTTTTAAGTGCAAGAACTGGTTGTAAATTCACTTTTTCAGTGGTGTGGTAACTATAGTTTCTCTAATTATTGTCTCATATACTGCACAATTTCAGAAACACTAGATTAACCAGTATGTTGCAGTGATGGCGCAGTGGTTAGAATGCAGTATTGCAGGCTAATTCTGCCGACTGCCAGCAGTTCATTCCTGACCGGCTCAAGGTTGAGTCAGCCTTCCATCCTTCTGAGGTTGGTAAACTGAAGACCCAGATTGTTGGGGGCAATATGCTGCCTCTGTAAATCTCTAAGAGAGGGCTGTAAAGAACTGTGAAGCATTATATACGTCTAAATGCAAGTTGTGTAGCTTCAGCTTCACTTGGTCTCTGGATTGTTGAGGATAAATAGAAAGAAAAGGCAAGTAAGCAGCAATACGTGAGGCTTGGAAGCAAGGCCTCTTTTCTGTGATGAAAACACACAGCATTAATGCACAGTGACCATATGTTCTCTATTTCAGAAATCTGTCGTGTGTTTTTCAAAAACTCACTATTGTCCTTTATCTTGATCAGGGGTGAAATGCTCCCGGTTCGGACCAGATCGGGTGATCCGGTAGCGATGGTGGCGGGTGGTTTTTAGGACCGGTAACAAAAATCCCTGCCCCCCCCCACAAGCCCACCCAATCGCCCGGTCCCCACTTACCAGCTTGCTGCTTCTTTTGGGCTCGTTCGCTTTTCCTGCCTTGCTTCAGCTGCTGAAATCAATTGCATCAGCTAGCAACTGAATCTGCCTGCCTGCAATCAATCCAATCGGTGAGCAAGTCAATCTGCCTGCCTTGTGCCTTCAATTTGGTAAAGTAACTGGTTTTTTTTTTTTTTTGTGCTTTAAAAAAAATTGATTGGGTTTTTTTTTAGGAGTTTTTTTTTTTTTTTTTGACATAGCAATTTAAAGTTAAGGAAATTTTAAATTTAGCTGCTTTTATCTAAAAATATAAATAAAATAAAATAAAATAATAAAATAAAATATTTGTGCAGCTTTGTGAGATTTGGTGTGTTTCTGTATGTTTCACTCTACACAAACACAAAATCTCACAAAGCTGTATGTGGCATTTAGTGTGGAAAAAGTGTGAAACTTGGTTCTTGAGCTTTTTGTGGCTGTGTGAGGTTCCTGCTTGTTGCAGGGGCCATTTTGGGTGAAGTGCAGCTGCTTTTACATTGTGTGTGTGTCATATTGTGTTGTGTGTGTGTAAAGTGTGAAAGTTGGTTTTTAGTACGTTTTGTGTACTTTATTTTTATTATTTATTATTGGCCACGCCCACCCAGTCACCCAACCAATTAAGCCACGCCCACAGAACCGGTAGGGAAACTTTTTAGATTTCACCCTTGATCTTGATCATTATCTTTTACCATACTGAGGCAGCCACTTAATGCAATTTTTCAATTCATGTGGAAACTATGGAAATTGAATTGTTTTTTTTTAAAATAAATTTACATGTAGTGTTTGGTTTTAGGTATTTTTATTTGAATATGCATTTTTGTAAAGTTTTTCTTCGTTTTGCTCTTGATTTCCCCTTTGTATAGCGAAGTTATAAACAAACTTTTTTTTATTATGAATCTCTTTCAGATTTGTTCCTTATTCAGGTTTGTTCTTTATTTCCCCCCCTCAAAATATGGTCATCATATATTAATGAAAGCTGAAGGATAGTTAGGAACCAGGAAACTGTGAGTTCTAGTCAAGCATGAAAGCCAGCTGGGTGACTTTGGGCTAGTCACTCTAAGCCTAACCCACCTCACAGGATTGTTATGAGGAAAAGAGGAGGCAGTAGTAGTATTGGGTATTTTTGCCTCCATGCACTATTCGTTTATAAAAATAATAAAGCTGAGATTAAAAAAAATCTGAAACAAAAACTTTTAAGACTAGTAATTAAGACGTAGGGTTCCTTTTTGGAATTTTAATTTCTTTTCTGTGTATTTAACTGTAGTAAAACACTGGTATTACAACTAAAGCTGGGTTAGAATCTTTTTTAAAACCTAAACACATTTCGGAATGTTGCGTCATCTTCCGATTCATCAGTTTTGTGTCATTATTCATGAAGGAGAGGGACAAGAGGCAACTTCTCTTCTGCCACAATTTTTATTGGTTTAGTATGAGTTCATCACACTATAGAAAGCCAGTCTCGGGGCCTGTAATACACGAATACATAATCTGTAGAAGTAGTTACACTTTGACTCCCATCTGCTTAAGCTTTTTTGTACAGAGGAAACGAACAGAAAAAAGGCGATAATAAAATAGACATTCGCTGTCAAATCAATTTTCTTCGTCTAACAAAATTTGATAGCCAAAAAAGTGTCTAAAACTACAAAATTAGGATACGTACCACATGGGTAAAAAGTTATCCATTTTTATTATTATTATTATTATACTTAGTTTTGACTGGATTCTCTTCTTGTTCAGGAACCTGATAAACTGGACTGGCAGGATTAGTGGATTAATATATCTCTTCAAAGAATAAATGCTGAATGCTCTCCATTGATAGCTGCACTGGAGTTGGATTTTGACTTCCCGTGAAATGGCTATGTGTATATTTTTTTGAAACACAAAGAGGAATAACAGAGTTGGAAGGGACCTTGGAGGTCTTCTAGTCCAATCCCCTGCTCAGGCAGGAAACCCTGGCCTATACTATTTCAGACAAATGGTTCTCCAATCTCTTCTTAAAAACCTCCAGTGTTGGAGCACTCAACTTCTGGAGCCAAGTGGTTCCACTGATTAATTGTTTTAATTGCCAAGAAATTTCTCCTTAGTTCTAGGTTGCTTCTCTCCTTGATTAGTTTCCCTCCAATGCTTCTTCTGCTTTCAGGTGCTTTGGAGAATAGCTTGATTGGGAGTCAGGCAGCACCACAGTATTGCCCATAGAATTGTCAACCATAGCAAAATGCAGTATCCCCAAATTTGCTACCCTCTAGATCAGTGATGGCTAACCTTTTTGCCATTGCATGCCAAAAGCGGGTGGAGCGCGAGGGGAGGTTGGGCGTGTATGTGCCCACCCATAATTCTATGTGCCCTGCTCCCTCGCGCATGCGCGTATAACCCCCCCACGCTCCACCCGCTTTTGGCACATCGTGGCATGGTGGGCCTGGTAGGCCTGTTTTTTGCTCTCCCCAGGCTCCAGAGCCTTTCTAGGAGTCTGGGGAGGGCGAAAACGGCCTTTCCCACCCTCCTCAGAGGCCCTCCGGAGGCCGGAATTCGCTGATTTCCGGTGGACCCAGAAGGCCCCAAAATCAGCTGCCTGGCGCATGCATGCGCGCCGGAGCTGAGCTCATGTGCCCACCAATATGGCTCCGCGTGCCACCTGTGGCACGTATGCCATAGGTTCGCCATCACGGCTCTAGATGTATTGGACTATAACAAAATTCTCAGCATGTTATATTGAGAATTAGAGACTGGTAAGTCTGGAAAGCATCAAGTTTGAGAATCTAATGTGCACAGCAGTGGTGGTTGGTATTCAGCTAGTTCTATCTGGTTCGGGTGAACCAGTAGCAGCTGCTGTGGAAGGCTCCGCCCACCCGCCTGGACATCATCACGTCCCATTTTTTATGCTTTGCACATGTGCAAAAGGCTCTGCACATGGGTGGAGGTGGTGCGTGCGCTCACATTTGTCAACCGGTAGCAAAGGTAAGTGAATACCACCCCTGTTGCACAGGATATAGAAGAATACATCTGCACTTCTGTTTCAAAAGGAGGCACAAGATTCTCAACCATGCTGCCAAAATTTTACAAAGTTGCTGTTTCCTACAGGGGGAAAAAAAAATCAACCTTCTGCATTTTTGGCAGTCCCACTCCGGAATGGGACAACTCGCTGCTGCCAACTCGCCACGGGACAATTTAGCAATTCAATTTAATGACTGAAAATAAATTTAAAAATATTTTATTTTTTGTCATTCACATTTCATTCTGTCCCTCCTTCTGCATCCTTTCTTTAATGATTCAATTTCACCATTTATAATAGTGTAACTCTTGTCCCGCGGCGAGTTGGCTGCAACAATTTGGCTGCAACGATTTGGCTGTGGCAAACTGTCATAGTCCTGTCCCACTCATCTACCACACAGCAATGCTACAAGTTCAGATTTTCATTAAATGTCCCACTAACCCTTCTGTTGCTTAAAGTCAGAAGAGCTGGAAAATAAACCAGGAATGTTAGCGCTTTTATAACATTTTTGTTGTTGTTGAATTTTGCTTTCCATCTCTCTTTTTCCTCCTGATGAAAATGGTAGGATGGACTGGCCTCTTGCTTGTAATATAGCACAATTACTTTGGCTTGCAATCCTGTGCAGATAAACTACTAGTACGTTTTTTAAGGGTCATAATGGACAAATTTTGCCATTAGGTGAATAAATAAAACAAACAAGCGTCTGGAAAGGACTCGAATAATCCCAGCTCTCTATCAGAAGGTGGAAAATGAAGAAGTTAATTGACACTCTTCTTTCAAAGACAGTGTTTGCATACAAAAGTAAACTGGAATTCTGATGAATCCTGGCTAATAGCAAATGAATAGTATGCCAAGTACAAATTCCCATTTTTTGTTGCCTGTTGGCCCATGAAAACACATTTGTCATTGGAACCTGGATTCTTTGTTAACTGCCTCTCATACAGTCAGTGTTCATAAACCAAAACCAATCCCTTGTTTAGCTGTAGAATAAACCAGGATTCCATACTCAGACATCAAGGTATGTTTTCTATTTCTGGTTAGTTAAGCTGTTCACAAGTATAGAATTAGCCAAGCAGGAGCAAAACTTTGCATTAACAGACAATTCATTTATATTTCCAAGATCCTGGCTTCTTACTGGCCATCTCTGCAATTCAGTTCCCAAAAAGTAACTTTAATTAATGGCATGATAAAACAGTATCAGGAAAAGAAAGAGATGGTAAAGATTTGTAGAAGTGTTGATTTTTTGGTTCATCCACAAATAGACATAATTTATCAAAGCAAAAAAAACAACAACCTGTGTTGAGAATTATCACACTAAAAGCATCTCATTAGAATTCCTCCAAAATATTATTTTTCTTGTCGGCTTGCTCCAATTCCTGTCCATCAAAACAGAACACAGAAGAGAAACAACTTGATTAGAAAATGCCACCATCATTATTTGCACTGCCCATTTTTTGCAGGGAAAAAAAAAAGATTAAGCAGCAACATTTCAGGTGATAAAAATCAATAAAGGAATATAGAAAAATGGCAAAGAGTTGAAGAAAAATAGAGGTATATGAAGACAAATGGGTAACTTATTATCCTTAATACTGTAAATCAACTTTCCTCATCCTGATGACTTCCATACGTCTTGGGACTCCAATTTCCAGAGTAAGCTAGCATAGTCAAAAGCTAGACATCTTTATGTGGGCTTGGAGATCCCAATAAAACCAGAGGACGTCAGTGTGTGAAAGTTTACTGTACATACTGGCAAATCCGTCACTATGAAAGTAGAATCCAAGGCCTTTTGAAGGATCATAAAATACATGAAGCTGACATGGCACTTCCTCCTAGGTAGCAGTTTTCAATGAGAATTAGTTGGCTGCCTTAAAAGAAAAAGCAGCAAAAACCACATTCGCAACCTTAACATGCCTGATCAGAGCCCATAGAGATAATTTTTCAATCGGAACCCTACATTTTCCATCACCAGTTCTCTTCAACAGATAACTTCATGGAGAAGACACCAAATGTGAAGCTCCAAGATAGGATCCTGGTTCTTAATTCAACCCTCTCAAGGAAAGAAGCAGAGTCTAAGAGGCATAAAGAAGTAGTGGGGTAATCTGGTCTAAGTACCAAAGAAAGGGTCCAACTGGATTCTGTATCTCATTGGAGCAGGCAGCTCAGTTGTTCCAAGGTTCAGCTGTTTGGCTCTTTGGTGCCCTGGGATTTTATCCTTGAGAGCACAGAACTGGGGTTACATGGTTAGGATTACAGAAAGAACGAACATGTAGGTTTAGCATTATAAGCTCTTTGTTTCCAAATTCCAGCACCCTCATTCAAAGGATTTCTGTTTCCGTAACACTATTTGAAACTATGCCAGTGGACTAGCATCAATTCAACCTGTAGGATACTTTCTGAATGCCAGACAGCCGTCCGGACTATTATTTACTTTGCTCTTTTCAACTGGCATCTCCGAGTTGGATGAGAATAGCAGTAATGTGATCTTGCTTCGGATGGTTACTAGAACTGACAACAATGGGGACTTTTATTCCTCTGGAATCCTCAAATCCCATAGTGGTGGTGGGATGGAGAAAACCACAATGTAATATTGGGAGAATGAACAGAAAGAATGCTCACCCTGGGGGGGTGGGGGGGGTTTTGGAAAAGTAGACTTTTTTTTGGAGGCCTCTTCCTCTGGACCACTTCTTAGGTTCTCTCTACTTAGCACCAATTTCTAGACAGCTTCTTTTAACAAAGGATGTTTACAAAAGAAGGCATTTTGTAAGACAACACTCACATACACTCATTCTCTCTCAAATCTGCTTACCACTAGCAGGAAAAAAAAAAGAGAAAAACCATACAAACACACAAGTGGACATTCTTGCTCCAATCATTCATATTTAAACACTTAAGACATCTTCTCATCTGGAAATTCATCTGGGTCTCAAATTTATACATGCAAGAAAACCAAGGGAGAAGAATACTATCTGAAGATTACTGCCACAGGCTGCAAAGCATTTGTGCTCCAAAGGTTAGGTTTGAATTCTTCTGGCTTTCACCCCAAACAAGCTACTTTCTTTCTTTGCCACCTCAAACAAGCTACTCTCCTTGTTATTTGCAGTGGTAGAACAACACACAAACAGACCAATCTGTGCAAAACAGAAGCACAGAGGCAGGCAACCTATATTCCATCTATTTTGGATTTCCCCTTATCCATTATTTGCAGTTCCGTCTTAATGATTGGAAGCTGAAATCCAAAACACTTGAAAGGCATCTTACTTGGGTGAAAAGGGCTTAATCTTGCAATTCTACTGCGTGTATAAACGGGGCCTAAGTTGTTTAAAAAAGAAAAGAAAAGAACCCTTAGGATATCGGGAAAACATTTCAGAATTTCAAACGTAATAAGTCAGAGAAAGAAAGAAAGAACACCACACCCCTCCACCCTCAAAACGAGGACATCTCAGCTCCTTCCAGAGAGTTGCTGATTAGATCTCTAGGTCAATCACAACTTTAGTTTCAAGGGTTTATCATTGGCTTAAAGAAGATGTATCTCTGAACAGATGAGAGATGTAACTATATGGGCACCAGCTTGGAAGTCCACCATTGGCTCAAAAACTCTAAAATCACCAATGACTTGATAATTACTGAAGTTAAAATAAGTTAGAGAAGGTCCACCCCAAAAGGCGTATCCCATGTTATATCATTAGGTTTAAGCAAAGTCTCTATATTTCTGACACCTCAAAACAGGTTTTTTTTTTTTTAGGTAGAGGGCAGAGATTCTTTTCAAACAGATATTGGGTTGTTCCCTAGGGTCAGTGGCGCTCGATCTTAGCTCTTTTGCAGACCTGTAACCTGGGTCCATCCGGCGGCTCTGGAAGGGGAAATCTGAATGCTATGTGCAAATTATTAGCTACTTAAGCAAGTATTCAAGGGGAACGTCTCTTAGAAAAAATCTCCAATGTCTTTCAAAAGCCACTGAAATGAGGTATCTCGCCGGCGCAGCAGGAAGTACCTCCCAAAAAACCTGACATGATATACACCACGCCAATAAAAATGACTGCCAAAGGCTGCAGTCATGCCAAAGGAGAAATTCAGCCACAGGCACAACCGCTGTACCGCATCTTTGGAGGAACTGGACCCAACCATAGAACTAAAGAAATCACCGGGGAGGAACCCTCCTTCTTGACTTCCACTTGGTTCATAGAGTGGAAATACTTTTGGTGGTGCTTGGGGGAGGCGTCTCCAAGTTTTCCTCTTCTCAACAACAGATCCAATGATTTCCATATTCCTTTCCTCTCTTCCTTTCTTCTTTTCCATCAGTGTTTCTCCTGTAATACAAGAGACCAGATTAAGGTAAAGGAGATCCCAATTTGTTTTTTTGAAGACCATTAATGAACTTAGGTTCCATACTAAAAGGTAAAGGTTCTCCCCGAACATATGTGCTAGTCGTTCCCAACATTAGGGGGCAGTGCTCATCTCCGTTTCAAAGCTGAAGAGCCAGCTCTGTCCAAAGACGTCTCCGTGGTCATGTGGCCGGCATGATAAAACATCAAAGGCGCACGGAACGCTGTTACCTTCCAAAGGTGGTCCCTATTTTTCTACTTGCATTTTTTACATGCTTTTGAACTGCTAGGTTGGCAAAAGCTGAGATAAGTAACGGGAGCTCACCCCGTGATGCGGCACTAGGAATTCGAACCACTGAACTGCCGACCTTTCGATTGACAAGCTCAGCGTTTTAGCCACTGAGACCAGATTAGGAATCTGATAATTGCTCTCATGATTAAATACAAGTGGTTCTTAACTTATGACAGTAAGACCCTGCCCATTACGATCGTAATTGTGATTGGCCATAAAGAGGGTCATCAAATTATGGACCCAATTTTACGATTTTTCTTATGACAGTTGTTAAATGAATCACTATGGTCAGTAAATGAATCAACAGTTGTTAAGCGAACGATATGGGGGAGGGGTGTCCTCCATCAATGCCAGCACTGATGATGTTATCTAGTTTGGTAATGAAACGTCTGCAAGAAAACCACCGAGGTCAGAGAGCACTAAGGATCCCACAGTTCAATCCTGAGCTACAAATTTTCTCTTCTTGTGAGCTTGTGATGGCTCATCCTTTGCCTGCTACCCAAGTAACATTGGTGGGGTTCCAGAGGCAGTCCAAAATTATAACATCTTAATTGTCTTGAAAGGCCAAAGATCGCCACAATTAACTAGCCCTCTTCCTGGTTCAGCCTTTGAATGGCTTAGACCAGTGTTTCTCAACCTTGGTAGCTTGAAGATGGGTGGACTTCAACTCCTAGAATCCCACAGCCAGCGCTGCTGGCTGGGGGATTCTGGGAGTTGAAGTCCACCCATCTTCAAGTTACCAAGGTTGAGAAACACTGGCTTAGACCAACATATCTGTGAGATCTCAGAAAGAGATCTCTCAGAAAGCAAAGAGCTTTAAAAAAATGAACTTTAAAAAAAAAGTCATTTATGGACATTTGCTGAATAACTGATATGATCATCTTTTATCATCTGGGGAAAAAATGGACAATTGTAGGGGGTGTTTTTAAGCAGAGTAAATCTATTTCAGTTTGGGGAAGAAAGTAATTAATATTAAAGATACTCGAAACTGTAACATCTAATTGCACCCTACCTTACACAATAAGCAGATAAAGCATCTGGTTATCTAAATTTCAGGAGTAAAGTCATAACTGGAGAAATTCTTACATGAAAGATATTTAGAATTCACCAACCTCCTGTTTGTGAGACTTTTCCTGCTGATGGACTCCATTAGCAGATCCAGAGTTTCCAATAGTCTAAAATTTTAAAAGAGCTTTGGTCATAAATGATTTATGAATTCACACACTTGGATGATGCATTAAAAAGAGATAGAATTCCATTAAAAATGAACAGTTTTATGTGATATAAAGAAGAAATGTGAGACATTAGGGAAAAGAAAATCAATAAAAAGCGATGTTTTATTAAAGTATAAACTGAAACATATTTCCATATTAATCTCCTTTCTGCATAACTAGAGGCTCAGCTAAAATAACAATAATACATCCATGAAATTTCAATCATTTGCGTGTCAAATTATACCCAGGTTCAGTAGTTCACTGACTGCAGGAAAATAGTTGATCTTCAATTTATAAGCACAACTGAGTCCAAAACTTCCACTGCTAAGCAAGACAGGTCTTAAGTGAGTTGTGCTTCATTTTATGACCTTGAGTTCTATTCCCACCTTGGGTATGAAAGCCAGGTGGGAGACTTTGGGCCAGTCCAACCCACCTCACAGGATTCTTGTGGGGAAAACACAAGGAGGAGGAATAATATCAGGCACGAACAACCAAACTTTATTGTTCTATGCCTATTTCACAGGAATCTCCCCAAATTGGCAGTTTTTGCCTGGGAAAGACTAGTTAAGGCTCACAGGCTTTCAGGAAGATTAGGCCTTGTCCTCTTGTGTTTACTTAATGAGTCCAGACTAATACCCCACTTGAGGCCTCCTCCCGATTGGGATGGTTGCTTTCCAACAAGGAAAGAGTATTAGGTATAGATACTCCTCGATTTATTTGAGCCCAAAATTTTTGTTGCTAAGCAAGACAGTTAAGTCAGTTTTGCCCCATTTTATGACCTTTGTTGCCACAGTCGTTGAGTGAATCACTGCAGTTGTTAAGTTAGTAACGCAGTTGTTAAGTGAATTTAGCTTCCTCATTGATTTTCCTTGTCAGAAAGTCGCAAAAGGTGTGTCAACTTCGAAGCGCACTTATGTTGTTGCAACTCTTATCGCTTCTCAGCTTGCCAACAAACTAAAGGAGAAGGGAAGGAGGAAATTGAAGGTAGGCTCCAGACATCAAGAAGACAAACTGTGAGAGCCAAGGACACTTCAGCAGGTGGCTAAAAATCCTTAGAAACACTTTCTCATAACAATTCAACAACATTTACTGTATTTTTCAGAATATAAGACGCACCTACCTTTTTTGATGAAGAAAAGAAGAAAAAGAAATCTGCCTCTGCCTCTCAGCAATTTTGCCTTGTTGCAGCAAACAGCAAACAGCCTGCTTTACTTTCAGTTTCGTTTTCAGCATAGCTTGATTAGCACAAGGGGGGAAAAATCTGCTCCAGCAATTTTCTTTCTTGTAGCAAGCAGCAGAGCTCTACGCAAAACAGCTGAGAGCAAATCAGCTGAGAGTCGGGAGGCCGATCCAATCAACTTGTGATAATTAGGCTGTGCTGAAGCTGAAAGGAGCTGTTTTTTCTTGCTGTTTGCTTGCAAGGAGGTAACTGCTGCGAGGCAGAGACCAAAGGGTGGGGGCCAGTGGCTACATTCGGTGAATAAGATGCACCTAAATTTTACCCCCTTTTAGGGGGGAAAAAGGTGCGTCTTATACTCCAAAAAATACAGTAATTGGACAATGTGACCTGCACTAATAAGGGGAGGGAGAAGTTTATAATTATACAGGATTGCACGAGAATTAGCTAGGGCTGTTTTTGCCTTAATCTGTGCCAAAATGTTGTACACAATAAAGTTTTGCAAGATCAGTTCATCTTGACTGTGGTTGTTTGGTTGGGTTCATCAGTTGGAACTTTGACAAGGTGATCACATGATCTTGGGAAACTGAAACCATCAAAAATATATGCCAGTCGCCAAGCATCCCATTTTGATGACATGACCATGGGGATGCGGCAATAGCCTTAGGTGTGAAAGCAGGTCATGTCATCTTTTTCAATGCCATTGTAACTTCGAATACACACCAAACAAATGGTTATAAGTCAAGGACTATCTGTATGTTCACTGCTTTGAATTGTTTATAAAAATAATAAAGGTAAAGGTATAAGGTAAATAAATAAAGAATAAAATTTAGAAATAGAATTGCACATCCTACTAGCCACAGATTAGAGCTAAGGAATGGCCCCTCCATTTGTGAATGTGTAAACAAGACAATACTGCATGATCTCTCATTGCAGGGGTTGAGAGTAGGATAAATAGGAGAATAGGAACAGGATAAATCCAATGTCAGAGTTCCAACCAATGCCCTAATTAAATCATGAGCCTCACGCCAGGCTTCAAAAGAAATCCAGTTATTTATTAGGAGTTTCATGTCAGCACGGACCAAATGAAGCCAACTCTGCCCTCACTTAATTTACGTCCCAGATCTGACCCTGTTTCCCCCCTCCCCCCAAGATGTGTCATCAGTCACATTCTCCAACGAAGCAATTTCGTGGGTTGTAGAGATCACTTCCCTCCGGCCACTGTGGGTTTCCGTGGAGATGACCTCGGCTTATCAGTTGGAATGTGCTTCATTTTGACTGAGATACCAGCTCATCGATGCAGCTGTGAAGTTCGTTTTCCCATCCCCTTACCTATGGCAACTCGAGAGCAGGCCAGGGATGCTTTGCAAGTTGACATTCGATTCTTAGTTTCTTTTAACAGCAAGTAGAGGATGCACATCCAACCTCCCTAACCAGGCCCAGTCCAGATATGGCCATGAAAGACTGACCTGTGCTTTTTCAGAGCAGCTGCGCATAGCTTCCATCAGTTTTTCCATTTGCTGGCCCTGCTCCAAGGCGTTCCTCAGGACGTCCTCGGTGCTGACCAGCCGGTGTTGCAATCGGAGGAGCTCTGTCTCTGAAGAAGGATCAATAAGGGAATACCGCCGCTGATCCGCGACGGCTTTTTCTTTGTCCTGGATATTTAATTTTAAAAAAATAGGGAATTAGAGAACTAACTGCTGTATTCATTTATAGAAAATCAGGACAAAAGTATTAAAGCAAGCATCCAAAAGGGGGAAGGGGAAGAAAAGGTAGGAGATCTTTTGAATAATATTAATAATAAAATATTAATGTAATAAAATATTACATTAAATAATAATTTAATAATAATATTTAATAATAATATTAAAAGGCACAGTTTAGACACAGAGATGGAGAATGATGGCCCCTTTATGAATGGTGGACTTTAACTCCCAGAATTCTGGGAGTTAAATTCTGCTGGCTCAGGAATTCTGGGAGTTGAAGTACACCAGTCATAAAAGAGCCATCGTTCCCCACCCTGGCTTAGTGATTGAATTCTGGGTCTCCCTATCAAGAATTTGTTACATGGTTTAATGAAGCTTCTCTTAAGTCCATAAAGGGAGCATCTTTCTTATGTAGAAATTGAGAATGATAAAAGATAATAGTGGCACAGGGTTGTAGTTGGCTAACCCTTGCAAAAAGCAAGAAATAAAACATCCTTCACTTCCTCACGCCATAAACTGCTTCAAGGTCAAAGTGCTTTCTCAGCCCATAAAAACATTTTAATTACCTGCTGAAATGTCCAGTCTTAAAGGCTAAAGCTATGAGATCTATGCATACCTTCTAAAGCAGTACAGAATAAATTTTAATGAACCCCCAAATGCACAGAGAAAAGGAATCAAAAAGTATTCAAAAGGAATCATATGGTATGACCTCTCAGAATTATCATTCAAGTTAGTGACAATTCACAAAAATAAAAATAAAAATGTTTTGAAATGTCTAAAGCAATCTTGCCTAACTGAAGAGAATATGATTTGCTGGGTCATTCAATCCATGAATATTTAAATGTGAGAAGCAAATTCAAGCAAATTTCTGAAGATGGCTTACAAATGAACTGGAGTTATGAATCCATGATTTCTAATCTGATAAACTGAGTTAAATGGGAAATCTGCTGAAGACTTCTCCTACCTATGTGGAAAGAGAATTTAGGAGAAAACCTATGGATTCAAGGCTCAGTGGAATTCCTTTGCAGGGGTAAGCAAATTTTTCATTCTATTCTTCCTCCAAATCGTGTTTTCAATTTATTGAGTCTGTCATCAACCCAACAAGACAGACACAGACTTCAGAGGATAATCAGACCTGCAGAAAAAACAATTACTACCAACCTGCCTTCCACTGAGGACCTGTATACTGCACGAGTCAAAAAGAGGGCTGTGAAAATATTTACAGACCCCTCGCATCCTGGACATAAACTGTTTCAACTCCTACCCTCAAAACGAGGCTATAGAGCACTGCACACCAGAACAACTAAACACAAGAACAGTTTTTCCCCAAACGCCATCACTCTGCTAAACAAATAATTCCCTCAACACTATCAAACTAGTTACTAAGTCTGCATTACTATTAATCTTCTCATCATTCCTATCACCCATCTCCTCCCACTTATGACTGTATGACTGTGACCTTGTTGCTGGTATCCTTACGATTTATATTGACTGTTTATGATTTGATTGCTTATTTGTACCCTATGACTATCATTAAGTGTTCTACCTTATGATTCTTCACGAATGTATCTTCTCTTTTTATGTACACTGAGAGCATATGCACCAAAGACAAATTTCTTGTGTGTCCAATCACACTTGGCCAATAAAGAATTCAATTCAATTCAATTCAATTCAATTCAATTCTACTCTACTCTACTCTACTCTACTCTACTCTACTCTACGTCTTCTGAAACAGGAAGTGATTCCCAATGTCCTGGATGTGGTTTAAGCTCATGTGGAACCTCATTAGCACTGCTAGAATGGAATTCTTTGGAAGTTCCACTAGAATGGAATTTTTTTGCTCAGACAGAAACCTAAATCCATTAAGGGAGCACTTTATGATCTCAGCTACTGATATGGACATTAAGATGAGACTTGGTTATAAAAATGGTTTATACTGAAAAGCATCAAATCAAACAGTCCTTCAGCACTGCTTCCTAAAGCAATGAGGCCTCCTGCTTCTGAAGATGCTGCACAACTTTCCATCACTTGTGTGGCCCTCTCTGCACAGCCAGTTGACAAAAGAGGCTTTGAACATACACATTGTGTGCATAGAATCCTGTTCCACCTACAGGTAATCCTGTTCTCAACTTACGACTACAGTAGAGATCAGAATTTCTGTTGCTAAGCAAGGCAGCTGTTGAACAAATCGTGCCGGATTTTACCTTCTTTTGCCGCAGTTGTTAAGTGAATCATTGCAGTTGTTAAGAGAATTACATGGTTGTAAAGTGACACCAGCTTCCCCCATTGACTTTGTCTGTTGGAAGCCAACTGGGAGAGTTCCAAATGGTAATTGCATGACGTTGGGATGTTATAATTGTCATAAATGTCATAAATACATGCCGGTTGCCAAGCACACAAATTCTGATTATATGACCATGGGGATGCTATAGTGGTCGTGTGAGGATTGGTTGTAAGTCACTTTTTTCAGGGTTGTTGTAATTTCAAAAATATTTCTAAGTGAATGGTTGCAAGTTGAGGATTACCTGTATTGGAAAGTCTGAGGAAAGTCCAGAAGTGATCTCTACAAAGTATCGTGTTTCCCCGAGAATACGACCTAACCCGAAAGTAAGTCTTAGCTTGATTTTTACATGTGTGCCCAAAATAAGCCCTACCCCCAAAATAAGCCCTAATTAAGACTCTGCCCACTCCAGGGTGCACGGGTAAAAAATAAACTAGGGTGAGGATGTGGTGGAGGGAGCTACTACTTACCTTTGGTGCACCAGGCCTCGCACACCCCGACACCTGCCTTGACGGTCCATTTCTTTTGCAGCCAGCAAGGCTTTCCTGAAGGCCTCTGCAGCTGATAACAGAGCTCCAGATCGATCCGGAGCTCTGTTATCAACTGCACAGAGGCCTTCAGAAAGCCTTGCTGGCCGCAGAAGTAGTTCCGGAAGGCCTCTGACAGCGAAAAGGAGGCCAGGGGCTACGCGCGCAAATGAGGTGAGTCAGTGGACGACATCCCCCCAAAATAAGACCTGGTGTCTTTTTTGGTGGCAAAATATGTAAGACACGGTCTTATTTTCGGGGAAACATGGTAATTCATGCAATTATTCTGCTATGATGAGTTGAATCATATTTCTTCCACAACATACTTCATCAAGACAAAACCGCCTTGCTGAGGCTTCGCGTACGATGCCTATCACCTGGGCTAAGCAGCCCTAAATTCTCCACCCTCCCTGTCCTCACCAGGATGCTGAGTTTTTCTCGCAGTCCTTTGATGTCATCTTTGAGTTTCTGCTCCTTCAGCCTCCACTCGGCTTTGTGCACCTCGCGGCTTAAGTCTCGCTCAGGGCCTGGCGAGTGCCGGTTGGCTTCCATTAGCAACGCCCGCAGCTCGTTCAAGCTTCTGCAGGAAGAGTGGAGAGAAGATCAGAAAGAGATCTCAGGCTGCCTGTGGGGGAGAATCTATCAAATATCTTAACGAATTTGATTCTAATACTGGAACTGCTTTTAGTTTTTATTGATGTATTTTATTGCTTTCAGTTGTTCCTAGCTGCTGGTGAGTGAGTCAGCATTCAACATGTAGGATGTATACGTGTATGTGTGTGCATTCTGTATACTACTCTGGCCTCCTTTAGGAGTAAGAGATTACAAAAACTGTATAATTTATTTATGCTTTTAAAAGTGCAATATGACAGCTAAAAAGCCTTCCATCAATAAGGACATATTACCTAACCCAACAGTTGTATTTGATAGTTGCCATCTAAAAATTAATAACCTGGGAGTCAATTATCTAAGAAGACAGTTCCATAACTGAAGCAGCAACTGGGAGAAGGTCCTGCAAGGGAAAAGGAAGGAAGGAAGGAAGGAAGGGAGGAAGGGAGGGAGGGAGGGAGGGAGGAGCAAGAGAGCAGGAAGGAAGGGAGAAAGGAAGGAAGGAAGGAAGGAAGGAAGGAAGGAAGGAAGGAAGGAAGGAAGATCTTTTCTGTTTTGGAACTATAGACCTTTTCTAACCTAGTTTTTCTTACTAATGTTTAGGATAGCAATTTCCTGAATTTATAACCTGCTTACTCAAAGGTTGGAAATTCTAAGTGATATTATCTGGAAGGTGCTGAAAAGCTACTCCATTCAGGAAATCTCAGAATCATCCAATGTTTTATAGTAGACATTTCCAGCTATAAAAACGAGCAGAGTCAGTACTCTGCATAGAAGCCAAGGTTTCTTTGGAATGCTCTAAATATGTCATACTGTCTCTGGGTGGAGAGGAAGACTGACCTTTCTTTTTTTAATAGCTCCTGGCTGATCAGAACCAGCTGACCAGAAGCATCGTGGGTTTTTCTTGACATCGTTTCTAGATCTGCTTCCAGCCTTTTCTTTTCTTTTAACAAAGAATCCGCCTTTTTGTCAGAGCTCTTGCATCTATTTTCCAGTGCTGTCAAACAGAAAGAAAGAGAAGATGGGGGAACAAAAAACATAGAATAAACTGAACTGGAGCCCTTGGCAAAGTAGGAAGAGAAAGACGTTTTGCACGAGCCAGGTTGGGCTAATGCATCTGGAGTGGAGAATTTGAGACTTCCTACTGTAGATGTTGCTGAAGTACAACTCTCATAAGCTCTAGCCATCATTGCCAACAGATCAGAGGCAAATAAGTTATCATGAATTACTGCAATTGCCTCTCTAACAACAGAGGCACAATAGCACCTAAATCTGACCACAAACAAATCATCTTAAGTAGGGGAAGGTGAATTTTTTTAAAAAAAAATTTGATTTATATGCCGCCCTTCTCCGGAGACTCAGGGCGGCTTACAATGCGTTAAGCAATAGCCTTCATACTTTTGTATATTTATACAAAGTCAGCTTATTGCACCCACAAACTGGGTCCTCATTTCACCTACCTTAGAAAGGATGGAAGGCTGAGTCAACCTTGAGCCTTGGAGAGATTCGAACCAGCAGTAAATTGCAGGCAGCTGTGTTAATAACAGGGTGCGTAGACCACTGTACTATCAAGGCTCTATTTTTCAGCTCCACCAATTAAAATGCCACCCATTACAAATTCTCCCCTCTCCCCAAAAAGATAAAAATTGCTGCACCTACGGAACTGACATTTTAGCCTAGTCTATCCTTCCTTTCCACCCTATTTGCTCGTTTTTTTACAGGTAAGGAAATTCTTCATTAATGTTCTTTCTTATCAGATCATCTCTATTCTGAAGGAATGCAATTTTGACACTGCATAATCTTTCCTATGCACACGCCACCAAAATACTTCCATATTGACCACCAATGAGACTTACCACTTACTTGGGCCCTTAGAGTATCCGTCTGGGAGACAAACGATGATACCTCTTTGTCCTTTTTACTCAATTTGTCCTGGAGATCTGTAGAAGAAAAAGGAAGTGCTGGAAACAATACTTTGAACTCCAGCTTCCACTTCACCCCACACCCAAGCAAAGAAAGATCCAACATATTTAGGAAGACGCCAAACTAAGGAACTCTGCTTGGGAATTTTTTTTTTCATTAGCCCCAGAATTCCTCAGCCAGCATGGCTGTTGAAGTCCACAAGTCTTAAAGTTGCCACGGTTGGGGACCCCTGCTATATGGCATGTGTCCTGGTTATCTGGGGAGCTGTCTCTCCCCAATGGGACTAGCCCGCCCTACTTGTGCCAGTGGAAGAGGCCTGCTACAGATCCCGTCTGCTAAGGAATTCTGGCAGGCGGGGTCAAGGAAAGAACATTTTCCACTCTGGCTCCATCTCTGCGGAATACTCTTTATCACCAAAGGTGAGAACTGCTCCTACCCTTTTGGCCTTCCAGAAGGGTATTAAAACTTGGCTTTGCCAGTTGGTTTGAGGCCCCAAGAGGGAGCTCATCCCCTGGAGGTAGTTGACGTTGTAATAAGACCTCATCCCTATGCTGTCCATCTCTTAGTTCTATTTTTTAAAAAATAATTTTAATTTTTTAATCTGTATAAATGTATTTTAATTATATTTCTATTAGTCTTATAATCTCTAAACCGCCCGGAGTTGCCTTATAGGGCTGATGGGTGGCATAAAAATTTAATGAATAAAATAATTATATACAAGGTAGCTGGGAATAATGTGCTGTATATTCCTTAATGAAAATTATCCCTTGCATGATCACAGCATACAGCAGTGTTGGCGAACCTTTTTGGCACCGAATGCTGAAAAGGGGGTGCGCGCACGCATGCCAGAAAACCAGAAGAGCAGTTGCCAACTGGCCACCTGGTTTTCTGGTTTCTGGCGTGCATACACGCGTGAAGACCAGCTGGCTGGTGCGCATGCATGTGCCAGAAATCAGAAGATCATCTTCCCGGTGTGCACATGTCCATCGGGTGGCTACTCTTGGGGTTTCCGGCACTCTTGCCCATGTGAAGACCAGCTGGTCGGTGTGCCGGAGCCCAGAAGAGCAATGGGAAATGCCTCTGCATGCCACTTCCGGCATATGTGCCATAGGTTCGCCATCATGGGCATACAGTAACTATACCTCAGTCTAAAAGCAAAACAAACAGCTTCCTACAGAGCATCACATACTATCCTCAACATTTTACTCCTCACAGAAAAGAATTATGCAAAACCAGTTATCTTGCACACCTAAATGAGGAAGTGCAATCTTTGTGCTTCTAAAAAGTTCGGTGGACTTTTCTCTTCTTGTTAAAATGTAAGAGGACCTGCCAGACCAAAAGCCAATGCCCCAAAACTTGTCCAGGCTACTCACTCCAAATAAGAAGAGAAGAATAATTTTTTCTGTGATCTGGTTGTCTTTATGAGTAATCTACCGGGGGCTACAGGCTGATGATAACAAAAGCAATCGCACTTAGACCTATATACCGCTTCACATGCTTTACTGCCCTCTCTAAGCGGTTTACAGAGTCAACATATTGCCCCCAACAATCTGGGTCCTCATTTTACCCACCTTGGAAGGATGGAAGGCTGAGCCAACCTTGAGCCTGGTGGGATCTGAACTGCCAAATTGCAGGCAGCTGGTAGGCAGCAGAAGTAGCCTGCAGTACTGCATTCTAACCACTGCGCCACCGTGGCTCCTTGGTGATGCTAAAACTAGAGCTAAACTAGGACCAGGGCATTTCTTCTTCTGCCCTTTCAGCTTTCCTCAATGCTGCTCTCCTACCCCCAGAATAGAGAAGCAGTTTTAGCAGAAGTCTGTAATAACTCTGGTAGAAGTTCTTTGTCGAAAGGCAGATGAATGTGGACCACAGGTTTCCAACCTCTCAACATCTAAAGAGGAGCAGACTGAACAGAAGCCAGAGTTGTAGCCCTGTACTAATTGATACTACCATTTTTGGGTGAGGGGGCCTTTTGTTGACCTGAGCACAGCATTTAGGTCTCCAACCTTGGCAACTTTAAGCCTGGCGGACTTCAACTCCCAGAATTCCCCAGCCAACAAAGCTTTAAGCCTGGCGGACTTCAACTCCCAGAATTCCTGAAGTTGAAGTCCGCCAAGACTTAAAGTTGCCAAGGTTGGAGACCCCTGATTTAGATAAAAATCTAAAGCAGGAACAGAAACTTCTAGTTAATGAAGTGATACAGTGTTTATATTCATTATAATTATATTCATTATGTTCAAGTCCAAGATCCCAAAATGCGATGCACTCTTACCTTCCATTGCTTGTTTCATCTTGATCTTTTCTTCTGAAATGTCATTTGTTTCAATCATCTAAAGAAACATTTAAAAAACCCGTAAACAAACAATATTGGGTAATATGAATTGAACGAAGAATGTGCAAATGTGCATACCTATCAGACCTTCTGGATAACATCTGAAATCAATTCTATTGGCGCGTTTCATGTTTATGTCTATGTATGCCTTCAAATCAGTTTTGACTCCTGGCAATTGCCTGGATACGTTCCTGAAGCCTTCTTGGCAAGATTTTTCAGAAATGGCTTGCCATTGCCTCCTTCCTAGGGCTGAGAAAGAGCGACTGGCTTTGTGTTTAAGCAGGACTAGAACTCCCGGTCTCCCAGTTTCTACTATGGTGCCTTAACCACTACACAAACTGGTTCTCTTCCATGTTTATATCTTCCACTGATTTATGACAGACATGGCCAGTTTTATACATACCCTTCAGTAAAGATCGAATGTTTTGCTTTTATCGTATCAAAGTAAATCTCATGAACTATTGAAACAAGCTTCGTATCCTCTGAATGAATAAATGATGCATCTTAATAAAACATATATAAGCTTTCTCTCTTGCACACAATCAAATTTTGTGGCTTGCAGCCAGGGGTGAAATGTAAAACCTGTTACTACCAGTTCTGTGGGCATGGCTTGGGGGGGGGGGTGTTAATGTGAATGGGTGGGCGTTGCCAACTTTTTTTAAAAAAACTTTTCAAAGCATTTTTTCTAATGCTTTGAAAAGCCTCTGCCGATCAGGCAACTCAGCTGGGATCTCAGAGACTTTTCAAAGCATTTTTTTTACCACCTCTTCGGCCAAGAGGTTGCAGAAAAAAATGCTTTGAAAAGCCTCTGATGATCCCAGCTGAGCCACGCGATCATCAGAGGCTTTTTTTTTTTTTTTACTTTTAAAAGCATTTTTTCATCAGAAGAGGTTGTAGAAAAAATGCTTTTAAAAGTAAAAAAATAAAAAGCCTCTGATGATCGTGCGGCTCAGCTGGGCATGGGGAGAGGGGGGGTGCAGGGATTTTTGCTACCGGTTCTCTGAACCACCCGCCGCCATCACTACCGGATCGGGCGATCCGGTCCGAACTGGAAGCATTTCACCCCTGCTTGCAGCAATCAAACCAGAAGTTTTGTAGCTAGCAGTTTATCACCTGTGGACTCAAACTGATCTATGAACCCTCAAATCAGTTTCCTGTCTTAACAATGCCATTGTTTCCAGCTTTAACAGAAGCTATATAATGTTAAATTCATTTCAAATCATGATTTCATAGCTTGCCTTATTCCAAAGTTGAGAAGCAGGGAGTCCTGGCATAGCATTACAGATAGTCCTCAATTTATTGTGGTCATTAAGCAAACACCTTATCAACTTTGTGTGTTGGAAGCCAGCTGAGAAGTTGCAAATGGCAATCACATCATCCCAGGATGCTACAACTGGTGTAAAATACATGTAAGGCTGCCAAATGCTCCGATTTTGATCACATGATAGCGAGGATGTGGTGACAGTCATAAATGCGAGGACTGGTCATAAGTCAACTTTTTCAGTGCCATTGTAACTTTGAATGGTTGCTAAATGAATGGTTGCAAGTTAATAGATATTTAAAGTTTGATTCCTTTCTCTAATGGATTCCACCAAGTTGAGATGACCAAATGTTTTCCTACTGCAATCATTTAGTTATGTTCAGAATAAGCTCTCTACAGTCCTCTCTATGTTACCATTGGCCTATTCTTCCCCTTATATCTTTCAATTTTTTCTTACTTTAATCCTTGAAATAGAATCTGGTATCTTCCTTTTTTGAAATGGCTTTTGACTTATTTCCCTACTATGCATTACAGCAGGGCTGTCAAACTCGTGGCCCGGATGCATCACACATTGGCCACCCCGTTTAGTGAAGGGGAAAAAAGTCGTGATATGTCATGTCACGTGACGACACTGTGATGACGCGAGTTTGACACCCCTGTATTACAATGAAACCTCAGTGCTCTCTGAGCTTGGTTATTTTCTTGCAGACCTTTCATTACCCTAACTAGGTATCATCATCAGTGCTAATGATATCACCTGATTTGGTAATAAAACGTCTGCAAGAAAAGAACCAAGCTCGGAGAGCACCAGGGATCTCTGAAGGAGATCTACATAATTCTAAAAAATCCTTTGAATCTAAGAATTTGTCAGCAAAATGTAATTTATGCTGTTTGAGTAACAATGTCATGAAAATGGCATAAATGGCATAAATATGATGTAATCATGCAAGTTATATAAATTACAATAATATATTATGATGCAAATGATAAATACAATTAAATTTGTCCACTGCGTGCCAATTCTGGAGAATCAAGATTTTATAGTAACCAAGATTTAAAGTGATCACCATTCCAGTCTGTTTTCCTTCTTCCTCCTATATATTTCCTCAATACTCTGAAATACTAAGTTCTCAAGAACTTACTTATCCTACCGTACCTCAATTCATAAGGAAAAATAAATGTTGATTCATTAATTTATGAATTAAATATAGTAAACAAAGTAGAATCCTGAATGAAGATGTCCAAAGTCATTAATTAATCCACGTTCCTTGATGGTTGAACTTCCTTTTGAAGGAATTCAAGCTGCCTCACATAGTGGCCAGTTTGGGGGGGAAAAACATCTAGCTAACAGCTTAAGCTGTTTAAATGTTGCCTTCTTTTACTTATATATTAATAAGTAAAATAAAGAACAAAAGAATAAAGATAGGGATCCATGGCAAATTTCTTTTAAAAAGCCAAGAGCTACTCATGGACTCAAACACTCACATTGGTGGGTTGGGAAGGGTGGAGGGGCTCAGTGGAGTGCAATTTATTCTCTAACACAAGAACTTTCTCCTGTAACCGCTGAATCTCTTGTTTACTCTGAACCTCAGTTTTCTGCAGGGTCTCATAGTCCAGCATCTTTTTCTCAGCCAAGGAGATCTGCTCTTTCAAGAAAGCTATGGCTTGTGCCTGGTCTTTGTAATCACTGTGTAGCTTCTCCAGCTCATGAACTCTGAGGTCAGCATCTCGACACTTATCCTTCAAGTCCTGAAGTTCCATAAGCTGCTGGTTCGTTTTGGTTTCCAACTGGCTCTTCCAATTGTTGTCGCTTTCTTCCATTTCCTCCTTGACTTCTTGTACCTTCATCTTAAGGCTTTCCTTCTCTTTAATATGAACTGCCATCTCAATGTCATGCTTAGCTTTTAGGTTCTCCAGCTCTAACTGGTGCTCCAATTTGATGCTTTCTACTACAGCTTTCAGCTCCACTATTTCCTTATGCTGGCTGTCAGGGCCTGTGTTCAAAGTAGCCTTGAGGTCCTCCAATGACTTCTGATGGTCTGATGCTAACGTATCCAGCTTTGACTTCCAGTTGTCCATTAAGCCCATGTTCTCATTGGTGGCCTGCTGAACTTTTTGCTTGAGGTCCACAATTTCTTGGGAGTACTTTTCATTGAGAGCTTTCAACTTTTCAACCTCCTGCTGGTGCTTCTTCAAAGTCCTCTCATACTTCTCTTTCAGTTGGATACTCTCTTTCTGGTGCTCCTTGTTGGCTGAAAACAGCTGGTCACGTAAGCGGAGAGTTTCGGTCTGCAGGCCCAGGCTGTGATCTGGAGACTCTGGCTGATGGGAATTCTTTAAACATTGCCGCAACTCTTCAACCTCACTTTGCCTTAAGGTCAACTCTTCCTCGAGCTGAAGGATTCTTGACTTCTCTGCCACAGTAGTTAACTGAAAGAGATTATGAAAAGGATACAAGCATGTATTAGAATCAGTGCTTGCGTTTTCATTTGCAGCTGTGGGTAACCTGCGGCCATCCAGTTGTTATTAGAATGTAGCTGACCATCATCCATCCAAAACCATTATCTAGGACTGATGGGAGTTCAACAACATCTGGATGGCTATAGTTTCCCTGAACCTGAAAATCCTAAGAGCTTCTTTACTCATTGTGGAAGCTTTCTCTTTTTAAAGTATATTACTGTATAATATGAGATCTTTTAGGGATGTATAAAGGTGTTAATGAACCATTCCCAATCTAGTGCACAGCTAAAGTGCTGGACTACAACTTCCAGAATTCTGAATCTGTAACTACCAGAACATGAATGTAATAAAATGTTTATACAACATGGTCAACATTCTTTTCTGGGTTCTAAAAATACACATAATTAGCAAATAGGCTGTGTTTACATTAGGTTACATCTTAACCATTTTGCCTAAATAAATTATGCAAATGTCTTTTGTGTTGGTGTAGCTAACATCATATAGCCCGGAGAGAAGAGTGATTACAAATATCTTAAGTAGAATACTGGAATTTTTTTTGCTACCAAATGTGTTAAAAAAGCTCTTAGATAAAGAATTTGCAACTTACAAATACCTATGCAGTAAAACAGATTCCATTATCTGAAGGTTTTAGATTTTCATTTTTGATTTTGCACCAGGGTAAATTTTCTTATTGAGCTTTTCTTTCTTTTCGAATTAAGACCATGTTCAGTTCTGTCTTTTGCCATTTTCTAGAAAGCAATAAGAAAAACTCTTTTGCCTAGAAACATCACTGCTTCTCCTTAAAAATAAAATAGAAATGGTCTGTACACCAGTCTCCTGTAATCTGGCGATCTCCAGATGGTGGGGGTGGAAATTCCACAATTTACAATCAGAATAGCCACTGGAAAAATGAGTGGAGATAAGACAACAAAGTTATGAAATGGCAGGATGGCGTATACCAATTCAGATATCTGATGGAGACCACAGTTGAGATATTCGTGAAAATATGGATCTATATGGATACAGCTTCTCATGAGGAGAAAACTGGCAACCCAGGCAGGGATAAATATTCTCCCCTTGCTCTGCTTACAGGTAGTCCTCGATTTACAACAGTTCATTTAATGACTGTTCAGAATTACAATGGTACTGAAAAGTCACTTATCACCATTTTTCACACTTATGACTGTTGCGGCACCCTCAAAGTCATGTGCTCAAAATTCAGATGCTTGGCAACTGACTCATATTTATGTCCCGTGGTCATGTGATCTGCTTTTTGCGACCTTCTGATAAGCAAACTCAATGAGGAAGCCAGATTCACTTAACAACCGTGTTACTAACTTAACAACTGCAGTGATTCCCTTAACAACTGTGGCAAGTGACGTCATAAAATTCACTCAACAACGGTCTTGCTTAACAATACAAATTTTGGGCTCAACTGTGGGCGTAGGTCAAGGACTTCAATTTTCTCCTTAAAACAAAATAAAGCAACTTTTCTTTTTTCCTAATGCTAAGTCATTACCTATTTTGAAGTTTTTAAAAATTACTTCCTCAGGAAAAAGGGTTTCCTATCTTCTTCTCAAGCAGCATGTCTTTAGGAATGCTCTTGGTCTTATTTCTCAGCTCAGTTTTAAGTTAGGATTACTGTTAATGTTGGCTGGAGAGGTTGTATTCTGTGGCATCTTTTCCCACCACTCTGAAGCCTCCTTGGGCGCCCACATTTGCTAATCTGAAAAGTTCCCTAGGAAGAGCTCCTGCTGATGTTGTACCTTGGGATTCAATAGAGGTATGAGAAGGCAGGAAGGCTAGTAATGTAGAACAAAAGGCGGGATACTGACATATACACTTTGGCCACATTGTAATTAAACAAATGCAAGCGTAACAACCCTTTATCCATAAGAATTTCAGTGATACCTCTTCCACTTTAAAAGAAATGTTTAAAAAGAAAATCTTTTTTTTTTCTCAGATTGAATGAGACCTGGTAGAAAATAACGCAGCCTCCCAAATTAGGATTCCGTTGCACCACTGGTCTGATGCAACAATGCAATGTTTTGACTATAATCTGTTCCCTCTACTATCAACTCTGCAATCATCTTCACCACCTATAGATCAGCGTTTCTTAAAACTTGGCAAAACTTTAAAACGTATGGACTTTCAACTCCCAGAACTCTTAAGCCAGCATGCCAGCCGGCTGGGGAACTCTGGGAGTTGAAGTCCATATGCCTTAAAAGTTGCCAAGTTTGAGAAACACTGCAGATGAAATACCTCAAGGCTTGAGAGTTTAGCAGGCATGCTGGGCAGCTTTTGAAAACTTACTCCTTCAGTCCCAGCATTCTCCATCTTGAAAACAAACCTTTTGTTCAGCATAGTGGACTGCTGAAAGTACAAAGTAAAGTAAGAAAATAAATAAATAAATGCCATCATTCTTGTCAGCTGATAATATCAGATTATTTTCATAAGGCTATTAAAAGGTGTTTCAACTCTCAACCCTTATCTGCTAAATTGGGTCATGTCAGATTTGGGTTTGCTCAATTGTTCTATAGTCACTGACTCTTTGCTCACCGCGTAGTTTACCCTGGTGTAAAAGGATGTATCAGCCAACCAACCAGCCATCCATCCTCCCTCCCTCCCTCCCTCCCACCCACCTATGGGAATTGGTTAGAAGTTATTAACATAAATGTTCCAAAGGAATATGTAAGGAATGGTGCTGGATGTATAAGCAAACTGCTGACCATGGTTAATGTTTAATGATGGGCTTAGAAGCAGCTGGGAAACTGATGGAGCACAGCACATTCGGTTTATGAATCATGGTAAAAAGGAAATGAGAGAAATCTGGCAATAGGCGCTGCTCCACTGAATTGACTCCAATACTAGCTCTAAACACTTAAGAGTTGAAAGTTAGAGAAGGACACAAAAGTTCATGATCCAAACTTCTGCTTAATAGAGGAACAGAATAGAATAACAGAGTTGGAAGGAGACCTTGGAGGTCTTCTAGTCCAACCCCCTGCTTAGGCAGGGAAACCCTACACCACTTCAGACAAATGGTTATCCAACCTCTTCTTAAAAACTTCCAGTGTTGGAGCATTCACAACTTCTGGAGGCAAGTTGTTCCACTGGTTAATTGTTCTAACTGTCAGGAAATTTCTCCTTAGTTCTAAGTTGCTTCTCTCCTTGATTAGTTTCCACCCATTGCTTCTTGTCCTGCTTTCACGTCCTTTGGAGAATAGCTTGACTCTCTCTTCTTTGTGGCAACCCCTGAGATATTGGAACACTGCTCTCATGTCTCCCCTAGTCTTTATTTTCATCAGGCTAGACATACCCAGTACCAGCAACCATTCTTTATATGTTTTAGCCTCCAGGCCCTAATCATCTTTGTTGCTAAGGAAAATCAGAGCATCTCCCAAACAAGTACAAATTTGAAGTCACAGCAAGGGGGCATCTGCCTGTCTGTCACACAATAATGGATGTCACTGTTGAACTGCTCTTATGTCTCCAAAAGTTTCTCCTAGGGTTCATCTGAAATCTACTTTCCTCTATCAAAATCTCATAAATGTAATCCTGAGATGAGGATGGCTCTAAGCCTGTTGGTCTTTTGGAAAGTCTTAAAAAGGTCTCAGGGGTTGCCACAAAGAAGAGGGAGTCAAACTATTCTCCAAAGCACCTGAGGGTAGGACAAGAAGCAATGGGTGGAAACTAATCAAGGAGAGAAGCAATTTAGAACTAAGGAGAACTTTCTGACAGTTAGAACAATTAATCAATGGAACAACTTGCCTCCAGAAGTTGTGAATGCTCCAACACTGGAAGTTTTTAAGAAGGTGTTTTGATAACTATTTGTCTGAAGTGGTGTAGGGTTTCCTGCCTGAGCAGGGGGTTAGACTAGAAGACCTCCAAGGTCCCTTCCAACTCTGTTTTCTATTCTATTCTATTCTATTCTATTCTATTCTATTCTATTCTATTCTATTCTATTCTATTTATTCTATTCTATTCTATTCTATTCTATTCTATTCTATTCTATTCTAAAAACCTGGCAATATGCCTGAGTTCCAAGTATGTGAAGGGTTCTGTTTTCTGGCTTTTTTTTTCTATACCAATGAATTATAACATCTTTTGGCTGCTATTTATATTTAATTTTTATTTATCTTATTTCATATTTTATTTCTTTTTTTGTATAGTGCTTTAGTTTTTTTTTTTATGATGGTTTGCAGCCTAGAGTCTGGTTTGAGGTGGATGGCTACACAAATTGAATAAACAAACACTAGAACCCAAAAAACAGACAAAAATACAAATGTAATCTTATTCCTTGGGGCAGCAGAAATTAAACCTTTGGCTCTTCCCATGTTTGCAGCAGCAGATCACACTGATTAGGTCACAGATGCTAATCTTTAAACAAGCCACATTATATTTTAGTGTGATGGATGAACCTTATCAACAGAAGGAAATTTCCTAAGCCAAATCCGACTCTCAACATCGGTTTTTCCTCTCTGAAAGTTTATTAATAAACAATGTAAATCACCCAAAATGTTCTAAAATATTCATTCACTCCCAAAGCATCCTTCTGGCAGAACCCAAAGTGCCAAGCTTTATTTCCCATCAAATTCCTCAACTGGTAAGAAGGAGCAAATCGGTTTTAAAACCAAAAATCTTAAGAACAGAGATCAATACATGGGGCTCCCCTTGAGGAGCACCCGGAGGCTCCAACTGGCGCAGAGTGCGGCCGCGCGGGTGGTTATGGGAGCGACATGGCGTTCCCATGTAACACCTCTCCTGCGCGAGCTGCACTGGCTCCCGGTGGTCTTCCGTGTGCGCTTCAAGGTCTTGGTTACCATCTTTAGAGCGCTCCATGGCTTAGGATCTGGTTATCTACGGTACCGCCTGCTGCCACCAGTAGCCTCCCACCGGCTGGTACGCTCTCATAGAGAGGGGCTCCTCCGGGTGCCGTCGGCCAAACAATGTCGACTGGCGGCCCCCAGGGGGAGAGCCTTCTCTGTCGGGGTACCTACTATTTGGAATGAGCTCCCCCCGGAGATACGGAGGATCCCGGATCTACGCACCTTCCGCCGTGCTCTCAAGACCTTTTTATTCCATCAGGCTGGCCTGGCCTAATTTTTTCCCTTTTTTTCCCTTTTTAAAACGCAAATTTTAATTCGTTCTTAATTTATTGGGGTGTTTTAAATTTGTCTTCGGCCAAATTGTTTAATTCGGTTTTATTCAGTTTTAAATTTTGTATTTATGTGTTTTTATCCTGTGGCTGTTCACCGCCCTGAGTCCTTCGGGAGTAGGGCGGTATACAAATCAAATAAACTAAACTAAACTAATACAGGCCTTTTAAGTTTCCCCTAATCTAGACAGTCAACATCTGGACAGAAGCAGTTACACAGATGACACTTTCCTACATAACAAAAGAGACATAGCTCTCCATTTTGAACAACAACTATGTTTTGGAAATTACTTCCTCTAGTATAGCCCTGTTTTATCCATATTGCTATTACCTTTTGTACTGATAATTTTTAGGGGGTTCTTTTTGGAGGGAAGAACGGGTAATAACAGCACAAATTGATTTATTTTTACTTATGTTGTTGAAGTTATATTCCAGTAGCTCGAGGCAAAATTATCATCCCCAGTAGCTCGAGGCAAAATTACAAATACTTAACAATAATTCAAATTCAATCTAACAAAATCATAAAAGGAAAAAACCACTAGGAGGAAAAACTCCAAAGGACTATGTGAATAAGCTGCTTTCCCAGTTTTGTATATAGAGGTAATCACGAAAGAAACAAAGAAAAATTGAACCATTTTTTTGTATATATGACTCCTATGTCTAGTAACAAAACACCATACCTCCTTGATCACAACAGTGGCAAACTATGGATAAATCCTGACATCATCAGAGGTGAAAATCACAAATTAAAAATATTGCACATCATAAAGCCTTGTTTTCCTTTTAAAGATACTGCAGATTTCACAAAAGATTGATAGATGGGGTCAAAAACCAGTAGTTTTTGGTACAGTGGCTAACTTGGATTAGACCTGTGAGAGACCTGAGTTCCGGTTAACCTCACTCTCCATTAGAAATTCACTGGGTGACTTTCGGTTTCTCTCCTCTCTCAGCCAATATAGTATAGTGGTGATCATGCTGGACTAGGAGCAGGAGATCTCAGATCTAGAAGTTTCTCCAGAGACTTTGGGCCAATCCCAAGAGTCAATGTGGTATACCGCTGCAGGTGGTGATGTCAACCCTGAAGCTGACCTGACCGAAGCCATCTTGGAAGCTTCAGTGTTGCCACACTGAAGCTGAGGGATAGGGAGGAGGGATTTGAGATAGCTTGGGTTTTGTAGCCAAAACAAAATATGTTCTCTTGGGAACCAAGGACATTCTCACAACTGGTTGGAGGAAGGAGGAGGGATGTCACCAGGCAAGCAGACAGCGTTGTGATTGGACCATGTGACTGATGGTTTTGAGAAAGTGACAAACCTTTACTTTTAATTCAGTGGAAACTGCGGGAATCTTCAGAGTCGGTTTTCACCAGATCGGTGCCAATATGATATATCCAATAAAGCTATTCTTTGAGGAATCCACCTGCCTCAGTTTTGCTTGCTATGGGTCTATTACTTGGAACTCTGACAGGTGAACTATAGTACTCCTTGACTTTTAACCATTCATTTGGCAACCATTCAAAGTTCTGAAGAAAATGATGACCAGAATATATATCCCCACAGTCACGTGATCAAAATTTGGGTATTTACAACAACTGCAGTCCCTCAGGGTTATATGATTGGTAAAATTGGGCACAACTCACTTAACAACCGCCTTACTTAGCAACAGAGATTCCACAATTATGATCCAATTGTGGTCATAAATCAAGGACTATATGTACAAGAAACAAGCCCCTTATTCTAATCTACCTTCAGCCATTAAAGTTCATAAGGGTCAGTCCTCCTCTCAGAGTCCAACCTATCTCCAGGGGATCCTGTCGTAAGGATAAAGTAAAGAGAAATCTCCACAGAATTACTTCAGTCTCTTGGAAGAAATCTAATAAAAATCTAATCTAATGAATAAACTTTTTTTTTTAAAAAAAATGGTACCCAGAAGCTATGTCTAATTATGGGATTAAGCCAGTTGTGAAATGTAAAATTTGTTACTACCAGTTCTGTGGGCGTGGCTTGGTGGTGGTGGTGTAATATGACTGAGTGGGCGTGGTCAACTTTTTTTTTTTAACCTTTAAAACCATTTTTTCTACAACCTCTTTTGGCTGAAGAGGTTGTAAAAAAAAATGCTTTTAAAACTTCTGACGATCCCAGCTGACTTGCCTGATCGGCAGAGGCTTTCTTTTTTTTTTAAAGCCTCTGATGATCCCAGCTGACGTGCCCGATCGGCAGAGGCTTTTTTTCTTTTTAAAAAACATTTTTTCTATTACTTCTTCGGCCAAAGAGGTTGTAGAAAAAATGATTTTAAAAGCCTCTGATGATCCCAGCTGAGCCATGCGATCATCAGAGGCTTTTTTTTTAACTTTTAAAAGCATTTTTTTCGGCCAAAGGGGTTGTAGAAAAAATGCTTTTAAATTTTTTTTAAAAAGCCTCTGATGATTGCGCGGCTCAGCTGGGTAATGGGGGGGGGGCAGGGATTTTTCCCACCTCCATCGCTACCGGATCGGGCAATCCAGTCTGAACTGGGAGCATTTCATCCCTGGATTAAGCATTATGAATGAACATACAACATCCTAGAAGACTTAAGGCCCAAATCCAGAATGCCTGGTTCTAGTTGCTGAGTGGGATTTTAATTTGGAAATTTCACATTTTTCTGAATCTTTTATAGGACTGAGGTACAACTGTCAAATTCCAAAACAGTCTAGAAAACAGAGCTATCTTGAACTTTCCTTGAAGTCTGATTTTTTTAGTTCATGTTGATGTCATGAGATACTATTAGTGTGCCCAAAGACCAATGTATGTATTACACTTATCTGCAGTTTGATTGGGCCTTTCAAATTCCCCGTTCTCTTGGATGACTCCATAGAGACAAAATCTGGGTCCCAGGCATGAAATACACTCAAGGCTTTGAATATGACTTGACGATACATGATAGACAGCACTTGTAAGCCTATTCTGAGCCACTACCCAAATGGGCAATTACATAGAATCCTCCTGTACTCTTAAAATCCAGGATTAAAAATGAGCAGGCTATTAGATTCAATTAGGATAGATGAAAAAGGCACAGCAAAAAGAGATCTTCAAGGACCCAGCTTTATCCTAGTATCTAAAGCTGTCCCTTTGAATAAGAATCCTGACACCTAAATGCTTGTTTTTACCATGCTTTCCAAAATGCTGAACCTGCAGAGTTAAGTTATGATGCAGAATTCCTGGGGGCCCAAGCAACTCTGCAATGGTGATGGGTGAATACAGCTTGCCATTTACCAAGTTACGTGCATGGAAAGAGCTGGCGAGGGGTTTCAGGTGAGGGGGAAAAAGGGGAATGAATTGTGCCTCCTCCTCCCTGCTTTCCAGTGGGGTGCAATGGTGAGGTTTGAGACAAAAGAACAGCCTCTTTCTTATTCATGGGATACCGCCATGAAGAGACATAACCGCTTGCAAAGCCAAGAGCCTATCATCAGGTAAATAGCTTTCTGTATTCAACCAATGATTATTGTTAAACTGGATGATGAGTGGCAAAGTTGGTCCAATCCAAATGATAGCATGAAAAGCTGCAGAATGGAAATCAAAGGAAGGGTTTGTCCAACAGACCAAGAAGGCAAAACTACGAAATGTTACCATCTCCAGAGAAACGGAGAAGAAAGAGATTGTGGAGAGCTGGGGGGGTGGGTGGGGGGGAGAATTGCAAAACAAGATGTTAACATGAAACATGGAAGCTCAAATTAAAAAAAAAAAAACTATGGGGGATTATCAACATAGCCAGCAAGCAATTGGATCTGCAGGCATTGGCTAGCATGAGGTGGGGCAGCAAAGGTGGTTGGGTGGATTACCCTGCTCTCCTCCAATTCTCTGAGAAGCTTTGCTGCCTGGGTCTTCTCAAACAGGAGGCTCTGTTCGAGCTCCCGTATTCGAGCATGCTCCAGCTGCGTCTGAGTCTGGTCACACATCAGGAAGGAAACCAAAGGAAGAAAAGAAAGCAAACAGGAGAGAACAAGGGAATAATAATAATCACAATGGAGATGCCTGCAAATTATCTTCTTCAGTATACAAAGTGAAGAAAGACAGTTTACACAATAGGGGTGGGGAGAAGGACCAGATTGGTAAAAGACAGGGACAGCCATCCACACAAGATGCAAAGGCGTGTGAATGCAACAATTTTGCAAGAAAGGCAGTTTTCAAGTCAATCCTCTTCACAACTGCAAACACAGACACAAACTATTAAATGCATTGGTGTATTATCTCTCATGTCACAACTCCAGCTGAATTTCCCTCCCAAACAGCTCAAACAGCTGCTCCAGACAGTCTCCTCCAGTCAATTATTGGTCTAGAGACAAGACGCTCAGCCACAATTCATGTCAAATCCATCTTAAACGTCCCAAAGGTGTTTTTTCAAAAGGCAACTGGATGTTGATTTTTTCCTTGAAGACGTTGCGTTTCTCATCCAAGAAGCTTCTTTAGTTCTGAAGTCAGAACTGGATGAGAAGCAAAACAGCTTCACAGAAAAACAAAGTCCAGTTGCATTTTGAAACAACCATGACCTGGATGACTGAGAATCTCCATAGGCATCCATTTTAGAAGGTCACTGAGGCTGGGAACTGCTGCCAACTCAGGCAGCTTTGCTTACCCCCCAAAATAATGATCCAAGAACCACTGAGTCAGATGCATTAGGGGAGCAGTTTTTGAAAAGCATTGATCTTAGGAGTCTCTTCTTTGCATCCATCCTAGTGCGCACAATCTATTTATCCAAGGGAGCATAACACAAAATTGATTGTGGCAATTTTTGTGCATTTGGACCACGAATGGAACATTAAAATTAGGATACATTAACTCAGCCTTATTTGTCCAGGTTAGACTGCCAGCAGATGTGCAGGAATGCTCTATTAATTGGTGCTTAACGTAATATGCATTCCCTTTTGAATTAAAACTAATTTTATACTTGGAAGAGATATGAGCAATTCCCTATATCAGCCTTCCCAAAGCTTGTGCCTTCCAGATGCGTGGGAACTGGGTTATCGTGATTGCTAATGAATGAAGGGAGCTGAAATTAACACATCTAGAGCACAAGAGCATTTTACTTGGGAGCAAATCAATAGGGCTTAGTTCTAAGTGTTGGATGGTGTTGATAACCATTCAAAATAGTAAAACATCTCCTAAATCAGTGATGGCTAACCGTTTTGCCATCGTGTGCCAGGAGTGGGGGGCAGGGGGTCAAGTGCACGTGCCCACACCCATAATTCTATGCGCCCCACCTCCGCGCATGCGTGTGTGTGACCCCCCCGCTCCCCCTGCTCCTGGCACGCGATGGCCCTGTAGGCCCGTTTTTCCTCTCTCATCTGGCTCCAGAGCCTCTCTAGGAGTCTGGGGAGGGTGAAAACGTCCTTCCCCACCCCCCAGAGGACTTCCGGAGGCCAGAAATGGCCCGTTTGCCAACTTCCGGTGGGACCGGAAGGCCTGTTTTTTGCTGTTCCCAGCCTCCAGAGCCTCTCTAGGAGTCTGGGGAGGGCGAAAATGGCCTACCCCCCCGGAGGTCCTTCGGAGGCCGAAAATGGCCCATTTGCCATTTACCTAGAGAGACTCTGGAGCAAGGTGAGAGAGAAAAACGGGCCTTCCCCACCATCCCCTGAGGCCCTCTGGAGGCAGGAAACAACCTGTTTCCCTACTTCTGATGGGCCCAGAAGGCCCAAAAATTAGCTGGCCGGCACGCGCATGCGCACTGGAGCTGAGCTCACATGCCCACTGATATGGCTATGGGTGCCACCTGTGGCACATGTGCCATAGGTTTGTCATCATGGTCCTAAGTGAATACAAGAAACCTGTTGGGTTTTGCTGAAATAAGAGTTTACAAAGAGGAATAAGCTGGATATACCATTTTCCCTACTTACTAGGACTCAAACAGATTGTTTAAATTAGAAATAAAACTAGAGTAAGGAAATGCCCATATGTGATCTTCACTGTTGCTTGTGATTTGATCTGCACACTAATTTACTGAGTGAAACAAGTTCCAGGATCGTCCAAACAAAGCAAATAAAAATTGGAACCCCTCTTTTCAGTGATGGACTATAAAAACAGAGTAGTCATATTCTCTATGGGACACCCTGCGACATTGTTTTGCCTATGCCATTCTGCAAAACACACGTAAGAGCCCACATTAGCTGATCAAAACTTAATTTATTAAAAGACAAGGAGATGACAGGGAATCAGTGCAGAGGAGATCATCAATCCTTCGGGCTAGTGTATAAATTCTAATAAAGAAAGGCCATGCTGTCGATTACCTCCAAATCTCCCTTTGTAATGGATTCTTCCTCAACTCGGAACTGTAAATCCTCTACCTTCCTGTAAAAGAAGAGAAAAGTCAGAAGAAAGCGGTGACATGGAAAAATTTCCAAAGTTATTACATCCACTCTCTTATACTATGTAGCTCAGATTATGAAATGGAACTCAAACAAGCTGATTTATTGCTGTTTATAGAATGACTGTTTATAGAATGACTATAACAGACATGGTGGCTCAGTGGCTAAGACGCTGCGATTGTCGATCGAAAGGTCAGCAATTCAGCGGTTCGAATCCCTAGCGCCGCGTAATGGGGTGAGCTCCCGTTACTTGTCCCAGCTTCTGCCAACCTAGCAGTTCGAAAGTTAAAAAATGCAAGTAGAAAAATAGGGACCACCTTTGGTGGGAAGGTAACAGTGTTCCATGCGCCTTTGGCGTTTAGTCATGCCGGCCACTTGACCACAGAGACATCTTTGGACAGCGCTGGCTCTTCGGCTTTGAAACGGAGATGAGCACCGCCCCCTAGAGTCGGGAACAACTAGCACATATGTGCGAGGGGAACCTTTACCTTTTACCTTATAGAATGACCATCATTCCTAATGTCCTTTTTTTTTTGGTCTCTTTGAGTCAATGTTGTCTCCTGGTGACTGCTTGGACAAATCCCTGCAGTTTTTTTGGCAAGATTTTGGAAGTGGTTTTCATTCCCGCCTTCCTAGGGCTGAGAAAGAGTGACTGGCCCAAGGTCACACAGCTGGCATTATGCCCAAGCCAGAACAAGAATTCTCAGTCTTCTAGTTTCTAGCCTGATGTCCTAACTGTGACACCAAGCTGGCTCTCTCCTACTTCCTAGCACATTACAGGTCATCCTTGGTTAATGACCACTTGTTCAGTGGCTGTTCAAATTTGGGAGTGTTGAATAAGTGGTACAGGCAGTTCTCGACTTACAACAGTTTATTCCGTGACTGTTCAAAATAACAACGGCGCTGAAAAAAGTGACTTCTGACTGTTTTTCACACTTATGACCATTTGCAGCATCCCCATGGTCATGTGATCAAAATCCAGAGTTGTTAACTGGCTCATATTTATGATGGTTTCAGTGTCCTGGGGTCACGTGATCCCCCTTTTCGGACCTAACAAGCAGTCAAATCACTTAACAACTCTGTAACTAATTTAACAACTGCAGAGATTCATTTAACAAAGATCGTAAAATGGGGGGAAACCAGTGATGGTATTCAGCCGGTTCTATCTGGTTCGGACAAACCAGTAGCGATGGCTGCTGGAAGCTCCTCCCACGTGCCCCAACGTCATAACGTCCCGTTTTTGATGCTCTTCACATGCACAGAAGGCCCTGCACATGTGCATAGGTGGCACCTGAGCACGAAGCGGGTGCGCGCGTACACATACACACACATTTGCGAACCGGTAGTTAAGGTAAGTGAATACCACCCCTGGGCAAAACTCACTTAACAACTGTCTCGTTTGACAATGGAAAGTTTGGGTTCAATGCTGGTCGTTAAGTCGAGGACTACCTATACCTCTGACTGGTACTTGGAATTCAGGCCACTGCACCATTCCCATGGTCCTGTGATTGCAATTTGGGTGTTCAATACTGTTTTGTTCAACAACCAAGATTCCAGTCCCAATTGTGGTTGCCAAGTCAAGGACTACCTGTAATCCGCTTCAATATTAATACATTGTCACCAACAGCAATAGCATTTATATACCGCTTCACAGTGCTTTACAGCCCACTCTAAGCGATTTATAGAGTCAGTATATGGCTCCCAACAATCTGGTCCCTCATTTTACCGACCTCAGAAAGATGGAAGGCTGAGTCAACTTTGAGCCGGTGAGAATAGAGCTGCTGGCAGTCAGCAGAATTAGCCTGCAATACTGCATTCTAACCACTGCGCCACCAAGCTTGATTATTTGCCTTTTCCTAAGCAAACAAGCCATATTTCACATCCGTTCTATTTTCAACTTCCCAACCCTCAAATTGTGGATACCTTTTCTCCTCTTCTAACTGGTTCAGCAATTCTATTTTCTCCTTCTGCGCTCCATCCAGCAAGGCTCGTGCTCTCTGCAAATTTCCCTCGGTTTCCGTTATATACTAAAAATGAAACAAAAAAGAAAACCCAAATCAATTTTTCAGCATTGTACCAGATTACACACAGACATAATTTCACTACTCTTACACCTTTTATTCTTGCTCATTAAGAAAAGGAAATGACCAAAATAAATGAACCTGGCAAACATTACTTTCCCATAGGATTTTACCTATCTTTTGCCCCCCCCACCCCCCACCCCAGGAGCTCAGGCAATTTCCCATCATGATGCCAACCAGAATTGGGGCATATTTACCTAACAGTTTTATTCAACATCTAAGAATTTCTACAGGAATTGCCTGATGGTCTAAAAGTCCACCTGCAGCGTGTGTGCATGCACAAATACATGTGGTTTATGGAAAAGCATAATCTCAATCAAAACAATAGCAGATAGGTTTAATCTACATCAGGGGTGTCAAATTCAAATTCACAAAATGAGGCAAAATTCATTTAACAACTGTCTCACTTAGCAACATAAATTTTGGCTCATTGTGGCCATCAGTTGAGGACTACCTGTACTCTGTTTAGGGCTAGGTTTCCTGATCTTGGCAACTTCCAGCTTGCTTTAGGTAAAGCTGGGTGAATACCAAATAACAAATGATTATTTCTGCTAATAATGATTGACCTATTTTGTGCTTGCAAACCAAAGTCATACTTAGTGCTTAATAATGAATAATTCATAGTGTTATAAATCAGATGCTTTTCCTTCGTGGCTTTTTGTCAACCTTCTCAGTAGGTCTGACAGGAAACACAACCAGAGAAACCAATTCTACTTTATTGTAAAGCTACATTAACAGAATCTTGCAAGTCTGAAAGTACAGTTCTCCTGCCATCTCCTTTACAACCTGAGATCCTGGAGGGTCCCTTCTGAGCCTCTTTCTCTGTCCTTTATGCATCTGTATGCTATATGTCTTATATAACCATTCCCTAGGCCAGGGGTCAGCAACCCACGGCTCTGGGGCCGCATGTGGTTCTTTCATCCCTCTGCTGTGGCTCCCTGTTGCTAGTCAGCTCCACAATTGATAGGGCTTTCGGTTAGGACAGGCAGAGGAAAAAGGATGCAGCGCTAGGAGCAGGGGTGAAATGCTCCCGGTTCGGACCGGATCACTCGATCCAGTAGCGATGGAGGCGGGTGGTTCGGAGAACCGGTAGCAAAAATCCCCACGCCCCCCCTCCATGCCCAGCTGAGCCGCACAATCATCAGAGGCTTTTTTTTTTACTTTTAAAAGCATTTTTTCTACAACTATGGCTGAAAAAATGCTTTTAAAAGTAAAAAAAAAAAAGCCTCTGATGATTGCGTGGCTCGTCAAAGGCATTTAAAAGAAAAAAACCCTTTTTTTCTTTTAAATGCTCTGACGATCCAAGCTGAGTTTCCTGATCATCAGAGTCTTTTGAAAACATTTTTTTACAACCTCTTAGCCGAAGAGGTTGTAGAAAAAATAGTTTTTTTAAAAAAAAATTGGCCACGCCCACCCAGTCACATTACCCACCACCACCACCAAACCACGCCCACAGAACTGGTAGTAAGAAATTTTAGATTTCACCCCTGGCTAGGAGGAGATTATGATGGGGGAACTGGAGTTCCGGTCGGCTCCAGAATTGAATGGGGGCTTCTGGTTAGGACCTTTGTGGCTCTTTGAGTGTTTAAGGTTGCCGACCTCTGCCCTAGGCAGCATCTATTCCCCCATCTCTCAAGGTCATTCCCACATACCATTACACTTCCTGTTTGGTTCTCACCTGCACAGGTCTACCTACCTGCTCATGCTGAGCTTTCAAGATGGCAATCTCCTTCTCTACCTCACATATGCGGCTAGTTGCCTTAGCAACTTCAGCACGCTCCAGGTCACGCTCAGCCAGGAGCTGTTCGATGTGCTGCTGCTTCTCCTTCAATGCTTCCTGAAGGGCTGTCGTGCCAGAGATCTTCCGGGCATAACGAGAAGAGGTCTCGGTCAGCTGCAGAAGGAGCATTGGAAAACCACAATGGAGAAAATTCAGTTAGCCACTTCCTTTCTGTCTTTTAACATTGCCGCAAAATTGAGCATCAAAATACAGCCTGAACACATAAATGCATTTAAACTGGGCAGGATGAGCTCTTTCCTACCTAATCTGTTCTCAAAACCAACCACTATCATATCGGGTTTTAGATGAAGAACTGAGGAGAGAAATAAAAATGGTGTTGGTGCCAGTCAGGGCAAGAAAGCAGACTCGACAATTGAGTTCACACAATGCACTGTGATAAAAGATGCCTTTGATGGGTTTTTGCTTTAAATGTCATGTGACTCCAGCCACTGCGGTTTGGAAATCCTGATTTATGGCTTAGAATTCTCTGTGACCTCAGCCAATTATGATTTAAAACATAGTTAACAGGAAATGGCTCAATGCCATGTATGAATCCCAGTCACCATTTCCCCTTTGATCATACTGCCAAACAATGGCAGTTGATGGAGGCCATCTTGGAGGAACCAACAGGGCTGTAGGTCCCAGCTTGTCAATCTGTCTTTCAAAACTGTGCGTTTCTGAGAGAAAAAAAACAATCATAAGTGAATAGTGTTTTTCAACCTTGGCAATTTGAAGATGTGTGGACTTAACCCCCAAAATTCCTCAGCTAGCATGCTCACTGGGGAATTCTGGGAGTTGAAGTCCACTGCTCCTTCTTCTTCTTGTGCCATATCCGTCATCGGATGTTGGCGATCATGTTGGTGATCCTATTTTTATCAACAGCCGCATGAAAAAGTGCTGCTGAGTTTTGTCCAAACCAATCCCTTATATTTTGAAGCCATGATGTTCTTCTTCTGCCTGGACCTCATTTGCTTCAATCTTTCCTTGGAGGATTAAGTGACGTATGCCATATTTTTCTGGGTGTCGCATCACATGTCCAAAATATTCGCTTTTTTTACGGTTTGATGATTTCCCTTGGCTTTCCCAGGTGGCTTATCACCTCCTCCTTTCTGATTTTGTCAACCCAACGTATATGTAACAGCTGCCTGTAAATCCACATTTCAAATGCTTCTAGTCTCTTCAAGTGGCTTTCTGTCAGAGACAAACTCTCCACTCCATAGAGCAGGATTGAAAAGAGGTAGCATCTGACAAACTTGATTTTCAATCTTATGTCGTTGGAAGTCCACACATTTCCAAATTGCTAAGGCCGAGAAACATTGTTATGAGATATACCATATATTTGAGCAAAAGTCCTTGTATCATCTCTCTCAACTAATGGGAAGGGAATTGGAAACTCAGTGATGCTAGGGCTTGAATGATCACTGAAAAGGTGTTTTAGAAAAAGGACAAATGACACATATACGTTATGACCAGGGGTGGGCTTCAAATACTTTAGTAATGGATTCGCTGCCCTGTTGCTGGGTGGGTGTGGCCATGGCCTAGTCGACCATCTGCACCACGACCCGGGGGGGGGGGTGTTTCACCCTCCACAGGCTCCCGAGGCTTTCTTTGAGCCTCCGGGAGGGTAAAAACTGCTTCTCCCGGGGTCCGGAGGCCCTCCGGAAGCTGGAAACAGGCCCATTTCAAGGACTTCCGGAACCTCTGGTAGGCCCGGTTTTTGCCCTCCCAGACCCTCCGTGCGGCCTCTGCATTTACCTGGAATGATGAAAGGGCCACGTGGAGACTCCTGGGAAGGGCAGGGCAGGAGGGGCACGGTGGGCATGGCCAGCCAGGGGTGGCATTTGAGGATTCGTCAAACCCCGGCGATGCTTACTAGAGGATCGCCCAAATCCTGCCAAACCCCCAGGAGCCCACCCCTGGTTATGACATCATTCCCCACATCTATTATGATTGCATAATTCATGGTATGTGCATGATTACACCATGATGCATGAGACATTATCAAGGCTTGTTCCGAATCTCTATAAGGTGAACCTTACCAGTCCACTCCTGCTAGGCCTTCCCCCTACGGAGGAGGCCACGGAACTGACAGAGCTGATAGACGAACTGCTGGGACTGTGGGTCAAGGCTGAGACACCCATGGCCATCCTCTTACTTTTCTTCGCTTTGGCTGGGCTGGTGGATGGGAACCCAATCCGGATGACCTTATGGATAGGAGCAAAGAGGCCAAACTTTGGTGGGCACTGAAAATATCTGGAGACGAAAGAAGGAAGTGATTTTCAGCTATTTTCCAGCGTAAAACATTTCCAGTTTCACATTCTCTTCTCTACTGTGTGCATCAGTTATGAATTTAACATGCTTCACAGAGATCAGCCAAGCTGAGAACATACAACCCTTTTTGGATTGTGAGCCATGAGTGGGTGGACCAGGTCAAAGAAGCTTGATCTGATTAAATAAAATTAAAGTTAAACCCAGCTAATGGAATGACTCCCTGTGCATTTAATGATTTCTTCTTCAGTCATATTAAAAAGTTGAAGAGTGATTTTTTTGAACAATTGTAAATCCATTATCAAAACCCAACTCAGCTTTATGGATAGATAAAATAAACCATAAACTCAGTATGTGGATTTATTTACAGCCGACGCTCCTCTCTTTGTTGAATCTATATTCACCCTCTTCTTTGTCCTTAAAGTGTGACATCTGATGCAAAGATCACCAGGATCAGAGCTTCTGGGTTATAATTATGTACGGCTGATTTTACCCTTCCAAGAGACACCAAAGAGGCTATAATTTACAAATATAATGTGCAGGTATTTCAAAAGGAAACAAAAACTATTTTAAAAATACCTGATAACCGAAACCCTACAGTACAATGAACTTGCTACAATGCCCAAAAAAGCATAATAATGAAGGTACACACAGATAGTCCTTCACTTACAACCACAATTGAACCCAAAACTTCCATTGCTAAGCAAGACAGTTGTTAAGTGAGCTTTGCCCCATTTTATGACCTTTTTCCACTGCAAATCACTGCAATTATTAAGTAAATAATGCAGTCGTTAAGCGAATCTGGCTTCCTCCGTTGATTTTGCTTGTCAGAGGTCAACTGGCGAGGTTACAAATAGTGCTCATGTGATCCTAGGACAATGCAATTGTCATATGCCAGTTGCCAAGTGCCCACATTTTGATCATGTGACCATGGGGATGCTGCAACGCTTGTAAGTGTGAAAAACAGTCATAAGTCATTTTTTCAGTGTCATAACGTCAAACAGTCCACTAAATGAATGGTTGTAAGTCGAGGACTACCTATATTTTAAAAATAATAATGGCAACATAAAATGTATAAAAGCTGTAATGTAGTCCTCGACTTACAACCATATATTCACTGACTACGTATGTATGTATGTATGTATGTATGTATGTATGTATGTATGTATTGGTTCGATTTATATACCGCCCTTTCTCCGGAGACTCAGGGAAGTTTACAATGTGTTAAGCAATAGCCTTCATACTTTTGTATATACCTGCTTAGAAGGGCTTTCGGGCCCCCCTAAGCGGTGTTCTTTTTTATACAAAGTCAGCTTATTGCCCCCACAATCCGGGTCCTCATTTTGCCTACCTTGGAAGGATGGAAGGCTGAGTCAACCTTGAGCCTGGTGAGATTTGAACTTCCAGTAATTGCAGGCAGCTGGTGCTACTTAACAGCACTTTAGCCTGCTGCGCCACCAAGGCTGTTTTGAAGCTATGGCGGGACTATGCAAAAGAAATTATGACAGGTGCCCAAAATTATAGCAGTTGTAGCATCCCAGCTACAATTTTGATTAAAATTCAGGGGCTCAGCAGCTTGCCCTCACTTATGACTGCAGGGGTAATTCTGCTCTTCCCTACCCACCTATCTCCCCCACATCTGTGGATGTTTGGCTACCCTGCACAGCAGCATTCCTGGGTGACCACAATGGGGCTGGGACTGAGAAACAGTGCCTCAATGCTAACACCATTGCCAGCAACCCCAACATCAAAGTGCAGAGGCCCAGCTGCCCCTCTACTGCCCTGGCCTCCATAGAACCTGCCAGGCCCAGCTGCTCTTTGGCGTCTTTCTTCCATTGCATGCCCAGCCTGACTCTATGTGAAGCAGCTGCTGGCTACACCAGGACTTCTTCCCAAGGCCATTCACACCATGCTTCAAATAGCACATGTCATTCTCGTTGGACCTGGGGAAGATGGCTTCACGTGGCCAAAAACAGCTGCCTCGCAACGGGGCAGAATGGGCACAACTTATCAACAGTGGGAGCCAAGACGACGGTGAAGGTCAGCTGGGGAGGCTGGATGCCAAGGGCGACTGAGAATGGCACTCCACTGGGGCACTTTAAGCAACTCTGCAGTTTTGTGCCTCACAGTTGGAAGCTTCCCAGGGTAGGGCAGCTGTGCACTGAACTCTTGAAGCTTCCTGGGACAAAGCAGCTTGCACACTGCACTGTTGGAGCTTCCTGGGGCATGACGGTTTTCTCCACTCTGCTGGACAGGATTGGGGTGGCTGAAATTTCCAGGGATGGCTGTGACTTAACAACAAAATCTGTGTTGTTAAATTAAGTTCTGGAACACTTTCTATACATCGCTAATAGCATCTTCGTGTTGTGGCTCCGTTACCTGAGCCTGTGTCATCGGCAGGAGAGGCCTCCGAGAGTGAAGGAGAGGAGTTGGCAAGGCCTCCCTCTCCAGGACCCTCCTCTCTGGCAATGCCTTCGGTGTCCGCCGAAGGGCAAGAGATAGGGCCGGGGCCAAGCATGTCCATGCAGCCACAGGTGGACAGTGATGAGGGAAATGAGTCTTGGCTGGATCCTCGGCAGCGTCGCAGAGATAAGCGCGCGCAACGGAAGAAAAGGCGTGCCAGAGATTAAGCTGAGTCACTGGACCACACCTCACAGGGTATAAAAGGGGGTGAGGTGGCCATTCAGACTCTGTGACGGACAAAACTAACTACTATCGAGTCACATTGCATCTTTGGAAACATCATTATCGGCCTTGGATTTATTTTACGAACTGGACAATTCTTGACTGTGTGTATTTTGTTTGTGAGTAAAGTTCTTGGCAAGCAGCTATTGGGTTGCTGCCAAGCTTCTTATCGGAAGAATTGGTTGTCTGCCAGTTTATTTAACCCCCGGCTGTCTGTTTGTGTGCGTGTGTGAGACGGGGACAGAACACCTGGCTGCTTGAGTCACTGGTGCAAATCCTCACGGGCAGAACCAGCAAAAGTTCCATATTTTGTAGCTGCTCGTGAAGGCATCTCCATTATATAACGCACTCCCTTAACCATGGATAATCCAAGCGGTTCCCAATGTCTTTGTCCGCATAGCGACAGAAGAGGAAGAGAAGGCTGCAAGGATGGTGAAGTGGCTCCACCTTCTTGAAGTCCCAAAGCACTAAGAAACCCTTCAGTCGCGGCATGACAAACAGTCCCCGAGCTGTGTGGTTTGCGGCTGCTTTCCAATCCCTCAAAACAAGGTGCAGGTCAGCCAAACTAGGCAGAGATGGAGTGAATAGGCAATTGTGGGGAGTTGAAGAGGAGGTACTGGGAAGAATTGAGGCTCGGGGCTGAGGGGGATCAAGGTCAGAATAGCTTGGATGGGATGGAATTCGATGAATAATGGCATCCTGTTAACAATGGCCACAGAGACTGCCAGGTTGCTACCACTAAGCAATGCAATCTAGTGACATTGTGCTTTGTGGCCACATCGCTTAGCAACAGAAATTCCAATTGCAATTGTGGTTGTAAGTGAAGGACTATCTGTATTAATAAACAATGCTACTGTATGATAACATCCTATGCCTATGTAATTTAGCTTTTGCTCTCCCTCTCTCTCTCTCTCTTTCTCTCTGTCTCTCCCTCCCTCTCCTTATTCTTACCAACAATATACTAGCCAGTCTTTCAACATTAGTGTTTTCTGATAATGGGACTTTTCATTCCCGTTATCCTCAGTTACGACAGCCAATGGCCAATCTAGGAGTGATAGGAACTGTAGTCACCCAAAATTATAGAAGATGAAGATTTGGAAAGCCAAAGATTTTCAAATGGAGAAAAGCTGCTCTCGTATTTTTTGGCCAGAAGGCAAAACAATGGCAGGCTTTGCCCCAAAAAGAGAATGAAAATCAAGGCAAGCTGCAGAAAAGTGGAGGTACTGGGGGGGGGAAGGCAGGGGGGGGATTGCCAGTAATATGATGTGGCAGCAAGTAGTGAAAAAAACGAAGGGAAGGTTTTTATAGTCCTGCCAAGACATTTGCCCAGATGTGAGCAGCTGTTCCAGAACATTGCTTCCAATTTGTGGACACCCACAAGCACACACAGAGAGCTGGCAGCTGTCCCAAACTGTCTGCCTCCATAGAGGAGGAATTGCTCAAGCATTAGCACTGAAAGCTGAAGGAAAACTCTGCCATGCTGGGGAGAAGAGGCCAGCTGCAATCCGCGGCTTCCACCTGCCTTTTCCAAATAAATACAAAAACACTTGTTTGGATGCTTTCAACGAGATGTCAAAAAAAAAAAAAAGGTAGGGGTTCCAGTGGCAAAGACATTTCCCTGCCAAGTCATTCCTTGGTCTTCCATACCACATAATGAAATAGCAATCAACAGAGCAACCTTCTCTAACATGGCCTTCTCCAGATGTTTGGAGGCTGCAACTCCCAAGATTTATAAGCATAACCTCGTTCTCACAGACCTTAATTTGCAATTTGACTCAGTCTACAAATCTAATCCTGCTGTTGCCCTTGAAAGGCTCTAGAAAGTTACCAGTATAAGCAGGGGTGGGCTTCAAAAATTTTAGCAAGGGATTCTCTGCCTAGTTGCTTGGTGGGCGTGGCCATGGTGGGCATGGCCTAGTCGGCCTCCTGCACTATGGCGGGGGGGGGAGGCATTTTTGCCCTCCCTAGGCTCCGGAGGCTTTCTTTGAGCCTCTGGGAGGGTGAAAACGGCCTCCACCGGCTCCAGAGGCCCTCTGGAGGCCAGAAACAGGCTCATTTCCAGCCTTCCGGAACTTCCAGTAGGCCCATTTTTCGCCCTCCTCGAGCCTCCACACACGCCCTGCACTTACCTGCATCCAAAACGGGCCACGTGGGGACTCCGGGGAGGGGAGGGGCAGGGCGGGAGGGGCCAGCCAGGAGTGGGATTTGGGGGTTCTCCAAACTGCACAGAATCTTAGCTAGAGGTTCTCCCGAACCCTGCGAACCCCCAGCAGCCTACCCGAGTGTAAGGGAAAAAGAACAAGAAACTGACTGATGCATCCATACAGGGCTGAGTCACCGCCAAAGCGTATCTCTCTAATGAGTGTTCTCTGATCTTGTGGGTGTTGTGTGGTGACAGCAATGGATAGCTACTGTGTAGTGCTGAGTGCCAAGAAACCTGGATACCCCATTGATTTTCCACTGTGGCTAGAGCACCCCATTACGTTAGGGCTTTGTGTGAAATAAAAACAAAAGAACTATAGATTTACAGGCATCTATTGACTTAGTACAACCATTTGTTTAGTTTCCAAGTTACAACAGCACTGAAAAAAGTGACTTGTGACTGGTTTTCACACTTACGACCATTGCAGCGTCCCCACAGACATATGATTAAAATTTGGGTGCTTGGCAACTGGCATGTGCTTATGACAATTGCAGTGTCCCGGAAGTCATTTGATCACCATCTGTAATCTTCCCAGCTGGCTTTTGACATGCGAAGTCGAAAAGGAATCCAGATTTGCTTAACAAATGATTGCATGATTCACTTAACGCCTGGGGGACATGAAAGGAACCTCCTTGAAGACTGCATTATTTTTAGCAATCGGGTGTCCCCTGGGCAATGGTGTTGTCACCGGCAAATAATTTCAGCCGAGAAGAAGCCTTCGGTTAGCTTTGTGGGGGCTTCTGACATGAATATGGACAACACTCACAGTGATTCGCTTAACAAATGTGGCAAAAAAAGGTCATAAAATAGCAATAGCAATAGCACTTAGACTTATATACCGCTTCACAGTGTTTTTATAGTCCCCTCTATGCGGTTTACCCAGTCAGTTTATTGCCCCCAACAATCTGGGTCCTCATTTTACCCACCTCGGAAGGATGGAAGGCTGAGTCAACCTTGAGCCTGGTGGGATTTGAACTGCCAAATTGCAGGCAGCCGGCAGTCAGCAGAAGTAGCTTGCAGTACTGCACTCTAACCATTGCACCATTGCGGCTCGTGGAGCATGAGCAAAATGGGGCAAAACTCACTTGCCTTGCTTAGTAACAGAAATTTTGGGCTCAGTTGTGGTCATAAATCGGGGACCATCTGCACTTGAACTGAGGAAAATGTTTTTTTTTGTTGTTGTTTTGTTTTTTGGAACCCAAAACAAGACAACATGATCTGGCGATCTACCAATTTATTTCAGGCCACCCATGGTTCATTAGAACCAAAGGTTAGAAGACCTTGGTGGTTTCATGTTTCGGCTAAGCAAAACAAGGCGAAGACGGTATATTTCGTTCCCTCTCTCTCCCCTACCATACCATCATATCTCACCATCTCCCAACCATCTTTTAAGCAGTTGTCAGCATCCTTCACTTCCTTCCCACTAGCATATTTTGCTTAGATTGTAGACCACCCAAGAACACTTATTGTGTGCATAAGGACAAGTAATGCATGCAATCTTTTGCTTTGTTCCAAGAAGAACATTTCAAATCTCAATTATTTCAAATTATGGGAAGGCAGAACATGTGTCAGCATCCCTGACAGATCTCTCTGCATACTGCAGTTCCAACACCTGCTCAAGGACGACACACACTAAATCAGTGGCAGGCATTCATCCATGCTCAGACAGCATCATAGGAGGAAAATCAAGCCTGAAAGGAAAACAATGAGGGCATTTGGCCCATCCTGGACCTTGAGAACAGATGGGAGTGAGATGGGGATATATAATAAGACATCCCCGTATGCTCTAAAGAAAGCATGCGTCTTCTGACCCTCACAAGTTCAGGAGACAAAATCACCGGTTAACTTTTAGAAGGAAGTCCGGCGAAAGTTAGAAAAAACCTTGACCCAACAATCAGAAAGTGACTTTTCAGTGTAGTTTATTCCCCCAAGAAGAGTAAGGGTCTTAGCTGATGTTGATTTCAACCCACAGACATTCGCCAGAGATTGGAGTCTGCACTGAGCAGAAGGTTGGGCTTGGTGGCCTAAATTATTCCAAAGTTGTCTACAGGTACCTTGTTCCAGCAACAGCTCCATCGTTCTTTCCCAGAGGTTCATCCAACTCCACACCACACCATTCCCCTTTGGCGAAGTCCGTCTCCCCTACATAGCGCACCACACCAGTTTTTGTTCCACCAACCTGTTAAATCATTTGATGGAAAGAATTTTTTTAAAAAAAATATATATAAATATATATATTTAAAAAATCACACATATAAGCAAATACACACATTGAGGTTTGTGTAAGGCTAGGGGAAAGCGATTAATAACAAGATTAAAAACAGTCATTTTTCATTTCCAAAAAACAATGCAAGGCCAAGATGAATACAGGTAGTCCTTGACTCATGGCCATTCATTCAGCAACTGTTCAGTTCCAAAATCAGTGAAAAGTGACTTGCAACTGGTCCTCGCACTTATGACCATTGCTGCATCCCCATGGTCATGTGACCAAAATTTGGACATTTGTCAACTAGCATGTAGACGATGGTTGCAGCATCTCGGGGTCACGTGATCATCATTTGTGACCTTCCCAAGGGGGTTCTGACCAGCAATGGTGGGAGCATGATTCACTTAACAACTGCAGTCATTTACTTAACAACTGTGGCCAAAAAAAGTCATAAAATCAGGCATGATTCACTTAACAATCATTTGCTTAGCAATGGAAATTCTGGTCCCAAATTGTAAACATAAGTCAAGGCCTACCTGTAATAATAGTATTTGCCATAAAGTAAAACCAAGACAAATAACATTTTTGAAGAGTGCAAGCCTCAAAGTGATGCAGAAATCCTTATCAGGCAGGGTATAAAGAGAAGAAATTATATAAAAAATCTGTATTAAAGCAATATTTTTACTAGTCAAACTGAATGTTCACAAAAATATGCAGTCTTTCAAGTGTCCAACAACTCTTCACCAGACAATTGTATTCAGCTATCTGAAGAACACAAACATTTCAATATTATATTACACCACTCCTGAGAATATAAGAATAACTCTGTAGGATCAGCCCAGAGCTCATCTTAGTGCAACATTTTGTTTCTCACAGTGGGTAACTAACAAGATATCTCCAAGGTGCCCAAGCAAGAGATGGAGGTATTTCCTTTCCTCCTACTAGGCATGCTGTCTCAGGTCTAGAGATAACTCTGAGTCTTCAACATTGATAGACTTGTTTGCCATTAATAACAACAACAACAACAACAACTTCATTGTCACTGTAAGTGTATACACAGTATACCCATACAACAAAATTCACTTAACACCCGGTCCAACACACATAACAATCCCCAAACACACTCCCACCCACCACAATTCCCCACCCCTAAACCATCCAAACATCCACACAACAGATCAAGTAATACTGTCCAACAGCTCACTGATGGTGGTCCTTTAGTTCATTGTTGAGTGCAATTAAGAATAGGATAGAAAGAGTAGAGTAGAGTAGAACTCTTTATTGGCCAAGTGTGATTGGACACACAAGGAATTTGTCTCCAGTGCATAAGCTCTCAGTGTATAACAAACAACAAAGTGATAAAACACAAATCATAAGATATAATCATAAATCCATTTCTTTTTTAAGGCCATCCAAATTGGTGGCCATTTTATCTTGGAACACTGAACATCTCAATTTTTTCCTTTTCAGTCTTAACATCCACAGCTGTGTCTGAGGATAAGCCTATCCGTGGATAAGCAAAACCCAGTCTTTTTGGTATACTTCAGCACCTAAAATTCTTGGCTTATCCATGAATATATATACAATATTATTATTTTGGTGAGTGGTGTCTACAACAGTCAGAACCATCATATAGAGATTATCAGGTCTTAGTAGCTGATTCAGCTGATAGCAAGATACTCCTAGAGTTGACTTTAACTAGATTTATGGCAATGGAATTGGATAAGATTGCAGAAATTCCAGCCAATGGATGGCTTTCACTTTAGAACCCAATTTATCAAGTATCCTAGAATTAGATTAAAAGTTTTAATATTTCATTAACTGAAGTAACTCTATATATTATATTGTCCTGAAAATTGCAGATTACTCTTGAAATCCATTTAATATATGAATAACACAGCAATAATCAAAATTTTAAATTTTTTAGATTTTAGTCTTTATTTTTATTGTGGCTTGTGTTTTATTGTTGTGAGCCGCCCTGAGTCCATTGTGAGATAGGGCGGCATATAAGCCGAATAAAATAAATAAATAAATAAATAAAATCAGTATAAATCATAAAATAAGATTAAAAGTTACAGTAAATTCTATCCAAGTACCTGAAATTTATTCTCATCTAGCAAATCTAGAAAGTTACCATATTAAGACTTTATATTAAGAGAAACCAAATGTTGGGTGCAACCCAAGCCCATTTATAGAATTATAATCCAAAAATGGTCTCCCATAAGAGTTCTGTATCAGATTTATTTTTGAAATACAAACTTATTTTAGACATCAGTGTGTCTACTGCCACAACTTAATTAGCCATCCATCTACCGAGAGAACAGCATGTACTTTCCAATAAGAAATAGCAGCAGCAGTTACCATGTTCAATGTTAGTTTATATACTTTGGGGAAATTTAATAAAGTTTAGTAATATTTTACAAAAATCTGCAGTTACAATTTGTTTCATTCTAGTATAAATTTCCCCAAAATTGTTTACAACACACTCCAATCAAATATGAAAAAAATGGTCCAACAAGATCATTACATTTCCAACGATTTTGAGAGAATGAATTGTCCATTATAGCAATCAGTACCCTGTTTCCCTGAAAATAAGATATCCCCTGATAATAAGCCCAATCAGGCTTTTGAACACATATGTTAAAATAAGCCCTCCCTGAAAATATTTAAACTCATGTGCAGCCGGTCCCCGCCATTTCCTCTGATTAGGGTTAGGGAGACAGAACTGGAATCAGGTAGAGTTGTGATTGGACCGGGTCTGCAGAAATGAAGGAAGTCCCTCCCCCTGACTGCTGCTGTCAGTTTTTCGACTCGGTCAAATTCGGACCAGTCGTGTCTAGGGACATCTCCATTAGTTTTACAAAAGCAAGAGGAGCCCCGTCTTGCTCCTTGCACCCCAAAATAATAAGACCTCCCAAAAATAAGGCCAAGCACTTATTTTGGGGTTCAAAAAAATATAAGACAGGGTCTTATTTTCGGGGAAACACGATACTAATGTATCAGCAGCAAAACATCTTACATTTTACAAGTGTAATAGAGAATGTGAATGTAATGTTTCCGTCCATTGCATATCAATTATCTATATCAGTGTTGGTATTCAGCCGGTTTGGACTGGTTCGGGTGAGCTGGTACTGGCGACCTGCAGGTGGGACTACCCACCTGCCCTGGCGCTATGCCATTCTATTTAGCCACGTTTTCTAAGCTGCGTGCATGCGTGCAAGCCGCACGTGTGACCACAGCGCATGCATGGAAGGCCGCACATATGTGTGGAAGGCCGCATGCATGTGCGGAAGGCACATACGCGAGCAATCGCACATGCGCTCACATTTTCAGTGTGCAGCAAACCGGTAGTAAAATTATGTGAAACCCACTTCTGATTTATATGCAAGTAAAACTCTCTTGCCTATCTGTAACCTTCAATTACTTATAATAGTGCATCATAGGGCAACAGTTTTTGAAGCAAAGAACCTAGAATGGGCTAATTTAAGGAATGCATCCAAAATCTGGCATCAGAGGAATTGAAATTTCAAGGATTTCGAACAGCTGCATTTGCAAACTTGTGGGTTCGGCAACGCTACTGCACCCTGCAGTCAGCCATGGTCACATGATCATGATTTCCAATGTTCCCCACCAGATTTCGACAAGCAACGTGCATAGGAAAAACCAGCAAGAAATTGAAAGTCATTCCGCTTCCCGCCGATTTGTTGCCTGCCTGTGGTCAGTCTGTAAGGAAACATCTCTAAAGAGTGACCCAAAGGATCATGGGTTTTCTAGTTGTATCTAAATTCTGGATCCATTTAATCATACAAAATATTTACATGTTCAGTTTCTAAGTCACATTTTACTAACAATTTATTAACGCAAGCGCCTGAATTGTGAACACATAACTGCAGAACACTGCAATGGCTGAAAATTCAAGGACAGTTTGTCAATCCTTTTCAGCACTGCCATAATTTTGAACTGTCTCTAAAGGAATGGACATAAACCGAGGACTACCTATATTTCCAAATGTCTTAGGCTTAACGACTTAAGAACAATGTCTAAGCCCTTCTCTTTCTCTGTAGTAACTCCAGATCGTTTCAAACCCATAAATATGCTGCGCCAGCCTTAAACAATAAGCGAAATCAACATTTTAAACAAAAGCAAAATATGAAATGTTTCTTCTAAACCCAACCTAATGCAGGCTTTAGAATCTGGGTCCTCCTTCTCTCCTCCCTCTCCCCAGTATGCCCCAGTAAAAGACTAGAGTTAAGTCTTCAAAGGCAGCTCAACCAGAGACTGCATCTCTCCAGCAACAAGAAAATAATACCTCTGAGAGACAGGAGACAGCAAAAGCTTAAATTATCCTGTCTCATCACTGCAAGGCTGTCACTGCTCCGAGACCACCCACACTCAATGAAGTGCAATGGAAAGCAACCCCTTTTGTTTTCATTCCAACATGGCCATATAGAAAGCAACAGCCTGTTCAGAACTATAAGAAAACAAAGGTGAGTACTGAAAGATGCACCCTGCATTGCCTGCCATTAACCATCAATTTCAAGCACTGATGTGCGTTTGCTGTAGAGAGGCAATTCACTGGTTTTTCCCTCTAGAACAGAGGTTTTCCCGTTTCGCAACTTTTTCCCATTCGCTAAACCGGGCGTGGGTGTGGCCAGCGCATGACGCATCCGGCCCACGGGGCGCAAGTTTGACAGCCCTGCTCTAGAAGTTCATTTGTAGAGATCCTTCACCAGAGGTGAGCGTTCAAAGTGGCTTAGAACTCAACATAACACAAAAAAGTGTGCTTCACAGCTCTATGCCAGAACTTGGTTTTAGCTTCGCATGTTGTATCAACCCAGACACTGTGATTTATACACTCCAATTTAAAAGTTAGCATGCTGTATGATCCCAGTCATCCATGGTTTATTCTTGATTCTGCAAACCAGGCTTCATTCCGTGTGGGAATTCAGCACCTGTAGATCACCCTGGACTAC